ATCGCCCTTAGTTGTTTTTATGTTGTAATCGGTTGTGTTTTGCTGATGTACAATGGTCGATATGGTTATATCGCCCTTAGTTGTTTTCTTATTGTAATCGGTTGTGTTTTGCCGATGTACAATGGCCGATATGGTTATATCGCCCTTAGTCCAGATTATAATTTTATTAATGTCTTCGTCATTGCAAAATTAGGGGGGCACATATATACACAAGTTGCAAATTTGCAAAAATTTTTAGCAAATTGAGAAGTTATATTAATCGGCACATCAGTTCAATGACAAAAGGAGAATCAAGGTTTCATAGCCGATTACAAAAAGAAGCTATAAAGTCTAAGTCCTATTACATAGAAGGTCACTGAGATAGATATTGCTGGATAGCTGATACAGCCCGGTGTCTGATTTGTTCTACTTCTTCGATTGCCTGGGTATCTTGTGCATCAGTTCCAGGGATGACTTTTAAGGACTTAGTCATATCGGCAACATTTCTAATGGCCAATTTCAGCCTAGACTTATGTTCTTCAACAACACTTGGAAGATCGGCTAGCTTTTGCTTTTCAAGATCCAACTCGGCATTGCATTCTTCGAGTTAAGCTATAAGATCAATCTTGCGGGCTTCAAGCCGATCTATGTTCGACTGAATCGGCCCAACAGAGAGTTGATCGAGCTTGGCTTTCTCTTCATGCACGAGTTGCCGATTGGCTTGGATGGTAGCTTCAATGTCTTTCCACTCCCGCCAATCGGCTATCCGTTACTTAGCCTTCTCCAGCTTGAATTGATGTTGCTCGAGGTATACAGCTGGAGTAATGATGTTCGCCAGATCATCTAGGATGAAGGCTTGGATTTCAGCAAATCGTGCCCGGATTGAACCACAATCAGCCACCAAGCTGTCTAATGATGACCCTAGCCAAAGGGATATATCCTCAAGTGTTCTCTTGATGGTTTCATCCAAAGGGGCTAGAGCCTTGCTTGTGGATTCTTCTTCTGCTTCTTCATCAAAATAATCCTTGATATCAAAAGAAAACAGATCGGCTAAGGCCTGCAACAGAGAAATTCGAAGATAGTCAAATATCAAACAGTTTCAGCCGATCTAGGTTCTTATGTCAATGAAGGACTTATTGGGATGGCAGGAGTGGCTGGTTGTTCCTCTTCTTCAACATAGTGGCTTCCTGTAGCCGATGGGGTACGGTCACTTGACATCTATTGCACAGGTGGTGAAGGAGGACGAGGAGGCTGCAAAAAAACAAAGTGTTATGTAAATATCAGCTGTGATTAGATAAGTGAGAGGATTTATATACGACAATCTTACTGGTGTAGCTGGTTTAAGTGTTGTTGCTGCCGATTTCTTCCTCACAGCAGTCTTCTTTTTCTGCAAAAACGAGATTTATAAGTAATCGGCTATGAATAAAATGATTGCAAGGGGAAATTAATATAAGTGATTTACCCTTGAAAAATGAGCTGGAGCAGAAGGAGTTGGAGGAGTTCACTTAGGTGAAGCCGATGGAGTTTTTTTTGTATCACTTACTTCGGCTGCAGCTTGATCAACATCCTCTTCAATCTCTTCCTCATCCAAGGCTTGCCCGATGGATGGATCTAAGGCAGGCAAGTCATCGGCTGGCTTAGGCTTATTCTTCTTGATCTTCTTTTTGGGAGCCAGAGCCGATGGATCTATAACCGATGCCTTGGTCTTTCTCTTCCTGCCGACATCGGCTGGTTCTCTCATCTGCCCTTGAAGCAGACTTGAAGTCTTGGGGGCATGATAGCCAATGACTGGAGGGGTCAATCCACCACCGTTTGGCAAATGGCCTGGAGCATACTCTATATCCCTGCCACTGTTGCTCTTGCGGGGAGGAGAAGATTCTGTTGTCTGCAAGGTAAAGAGAAAAGTTAATCAAGATTCAAGTCGGCTAATAGTTGTTTAAATAAGATTGATAAGAGCAGAGGTATACCTGAGGAATGACATCTGGGAACAAGTCTATCATGCACATGGAGGCTGACTGATGGAATATGTGTTGCTTCCATTCTCCCCACCATCTGTCAAAGTTTTTGCTCCAAAACCTGGCCAACTCTATGTTATCAATGCTGGCCAAAGGAGGTCCTGGGATGTTGAGTAGCCGATCCATCATCAGGGTTGATGAAATGTCTCCTCGGCATTGGATTTTATCGGCAAAGAACAAGCCGATTGGTAGCTGTCCCATTCCAAATTGCCTAGCTGAGCTCATCGGATGATAAAACTCATAGGAGACTTGAATATTTCTTCCTTGATGTATGCTGACAGGGAGGATGCATGGGCTAATAGCAGCAGCAAAGACTTCTCTGGACTTTTGATATCTCTCATGGTTGATATCTTCAAATCTGAAGTCTGCTGGGAGATCCAAATTGACTGAATCTTCATATGGGAACCAAACCCGAGCATCTTTCTGGAAGCCTTCATAAAAGCTACAGAACCAATCCTTGAGTAATTCAGCCGATAACTTTGCTCCAGCATCGGCTGGTGTGGATGCATATTCCCCATAGGACATACACCTGCGGTGGGTGCGCTCTTCTCCATCATCATCTGTGATCGGCTCTAATCTTGGAAATTCAGCTTCTGTTACGGCTGGCCGATTGACAGCTTTCATGGCTACCAAGTTTAGCCAAGTTTGCAGCAACCACCATGGCCCGCCTGCGTTAACGACTGAGCCGACAGCAATCTTAGCCGATGCGTTGTTCAACATTTGATACAAATAGCCAAGAAGGATTTTGCCCAAAGGGAATTGCTTCTTTGTATCAAGGGCTTCGGCTAAGAACTACCAGTTGGTGGTAGGGCCACAACTTGATCCATAAAAAAGGAATTTCTCAAGCCATATCAGCAGGAGGGCCACATGTTATCGGGAAGTTACAGGTCCTTTGCCCATATATGCTGCTACATAACCAGACCAGCCTCTTGCTCTTAGTTCTGAAGTCAAACTGGTTCTTGGTGTTCAAACTCATGGGGTTAGCCGATGAGGTCACATCCAAATCGGTGATCATAGTAATGTCAAGCAAAGTGGGGGTCATCGGCCCTTGGTTGAATAAGAAAGCGTTGATGGTGTTGGACCAAAAGTAGGTCGCGGCAGCCATCAGGGGTTCATCCTTAGCTGAATTTGCTATAGTGAGGGCGAGTGCCTGGCCGATTCCGATTTCATCCTAGTGAACCTGCTTGCTAGCCGATATACGCTTATACCACACAGCCCAGCTTTTCTCAGGGGCAGTTTTCTCAAGAGAAGGCCAAGACTTGAAGGTGTTTTTCCAGTGACCTAGATTCTGATTGGCTAATCTAAAAGGGATCCTATTGGTTTCGGCGGAGATGAACTCAGTGGGATCAAGATTGCCGATCGGACCAAGAAAATAGTGACGCTCATGTGACAAACTCGGAGTCGCAACCAGATCGGACAAGTGCTACAGATGTGAATAAGAATAGAGAAGAAGAAAACAAGATGAGGCAAGGAAAAACCAATCTATTGCGAAAAGATGGGATCTAGCCGATGAGCACTTACTTCTGCGTACTCAGCCGATGGCGTGGTAGACGGGCTGGCGGAAGTCGACATCGCCGCGGGCGGAAACTTGGCCGGGGAGGAGATCGCCTTGAAATCGCCTTGCGCACCGAGGGAATCGCCGGAGAGAGGGAAGATGAGTTTGGCTTAAGCGGTGAAAACGGAAGTAACAGTGTGAAGTTTCTCGGGGACAACGGTTAGTATTTAAAGCAGAGTGATAACGGTCGGAAAAACGGCAAGTGCGATATTTTCTCGGAGATGAAATATCGCAAATCCGAAACAATATCATATATTCCGGACTTGGGGGGAATGTGTTAACAACCAAATTTGGTAATCCAAGTGTCAGAGATGAAGATAAGATCGAAGCAGAATCCAAGATCAAGATCGTTTCAGAAACATAGTAAGAATCGGCTAAGTCCGAATCTTCTATGATCTTAATCAGTAGAGTTTGAGTCAGACAAGGTTAGCCGATTGAGCCGATTCCGACAATACGACTCGGTATACGTTGTCGGGTTGTGTTAATGTGCTTCATATGGATTGCCACACACGGATTGGGTCCTGGAAAGGCAATTGTATCTATTAATTAGGATATTTTATGTAATTCCCTTATAGATATGTTTGGGCAAAAGTCTACCGCAAAGACTTATGGTATCTTAGAGTTTGTTAGAGATAAGAGTCGTGTCCAACACGGACATACTTTGTAATCTCGGGTATAAATAGACCCCGAGCCCCATGTAATACAACAACACACGTTCAATACAATCTCGGCGCATCGCCACCCTTTTACTTTCGTTTTGTTTCGACGAGTTCTTGCTTTCGGGTTGAGCTGCATCGGTTTCGATCTTCAACTAGAGGTAAAAGATGTTATGGCGGCTTGCGTTCTCGGGATTAGTGCTTCCATCTTTATGATACTCTAATCTTGTTTATGTAATTCGTCGAGTTATCATATATTTTATATAATCTTAGGCAATATTGTTATTTAACCATCAATCGGCTAACATCTATCGCTAGAAGGCAGTTGATCAGGTTAAATACCAACGTTGACTTAGATTATATAGGATATCCACCACTCTATGAAAGATCCAGCGGCTTGATTGTCTAGATATTGTCCTTCTTTTCATACTTATAGCTGCATCAATTGGGTTTGACCTTATAAGTCATGATTAGAATCTTATCTCTAGCCTGCTTTATGGTTGCCGATTAGTGTAGCATCGGGGTTTTAGCCGATCTTACCTGATTTAATATATATTTCGATCTAAGTGATTTATACTGTCTCGGCATGGCGACCGTTCTATCCCAATCACTTGATTTAAGTATATATCGACATAAGGATTATATATTATTAATATCTACAGCCGATCGAGTAGATTCAGTTCTTTCTTACTTGTTCATGACTGCCGATCGATATACATATGACATCGGCTCAAAGATAAATGATATGTTATCGGCAACTAGCCGATCGGCTATCGTTTATGGATTTAACCGCGGTTTCTTTGTCTTTATTTCTTGTTGATTGCAGGATCAAATCAGCTGCACACTCACGAACCTAAAGGCAAGCTTTTGGACCTGCACTGGAGTTAAGCAGATCTCCCAAGCCTCGTGTTTTCGCATCAACAATCGTATAGTTCCATTAGCTAGCTAGTGTTTTGCCTGCAAGTACAGTGTGATGACCGTGACGCCGCTCTTCTCAACATCACTCTCAATATAACTTGTGAAATTACGTGCAAACACCGTGAAGAGCTCCTCAAGTATGCCCTCCCCAAAATGGCTCGCAATCAGGGACTCCATTGCCGCCCTTAGGCTTGCAGACATGCTCTCTCCCGCAGTGTGAGTGGCTGAAATGCCCTCTGCTTGCTCTGAGTCATCCATGGCGTTCCCATCTATCTCTAAGAGTTGGATGTCACTTATGTCAAGTAGCTCGCACTGCTGCACCAGCTGCTTCAGCTCGTCAGCTGAAGGGCAGTAGAATGGTATGTTGAAAGAGTCCAGCTTCTCCTTGGCAACACGACCCTATTTATGCAAATGCAGATTAATTAAACACGAATTAAGATAATAGTTTTCCACGTATGAGTGTTTGACTATATAACATTGTTGGTTTTTATTGCCCTTCAAACTAAAAGCAATGTACAGGTATTTAATTTAAGCCCAATATATACTGTTTGGACAAACATAAACATTTAATTAGGTAGCTTCTGAATATATATTTGTTTTCTATAGCACACATATATATGTTCATATTTTTGCACGTTTCCTTTGCACTGTCAAACGTTCCAAAGCCGTAACAAGCAAAAATTCCTATTTGTATAGTAAAACCAACTGGTATAACTATCCAATGAATTGAGAGCCTTCCAAAATCCAAACCGAAGGATCAGATTGATTCTTGTACTATTTGTACTAGCAGTAGTAGAAGACACAACTATCAACAGTAACAAATGTTAAATGGTCAACATTACTCGAAACAACAAATATTTTTATTTCTCATATATATGTTTATACTTTTAAGCATTTCTCGTGTGTCATGCACAAGAATATTTTAACATGAATCAAACTTTAGAATAAGTACTAAAATAAGTAAGATGCTAGCTATTTTCACTAAATCTTTGATAAGTACCACAATACAATTCAAACTTTAGAATAAGTATCTATAATGTTTTTTTCCTAATATGGGAGTAGGTCAACCAGGAGAATAATTACTTTTTCTATCAAAGAATATCATTATGGTTTAAACCATAATGTGGTATACTCTTGTCATGTGCATTATACCTCAGCAACAAGAGTGCGTAGCCCCTGTGACAGCAACTCGAATAAGGTGGTTGTCCCTCCTGCATGGAACACATCTTTGTTCTTCCTCCCAGCAACCGTCAGGACCATCCGGCCTCCGGGCACAATCTCCATGCATCTCATTTGGAGGAACTGTGAGAAGTCCTTCTCAAACTGATTTTGGTAGAGCTTTGCCACCGATGGTGGTGTAGTCGCTCCTATGTGAATGTTCCCCTCGTTCATGCTGCCATCAAGATGCTCAGGAACCTATCCAAACAACCAACGTTGCCAGTGAGCTCAAAGTTCCAAAGGTCAATAACTTAGTGTCCTAATTTTAAGCTTATGCAATGAGACATATATAAACAAGCCTCACCTGAGAGAGCCACATGATGCTCATTGAGGAATGGAAGAGATGGACGCTATTGGAAGGGAAGAGTCTACTGTAGAAGGAACCCGGCAGACCTGCGACAAAGTGCGCGGGAGGTTGTAACCCTTTGCAAGCGCAATCATGTATTGTCGACTGCTCGAACTGCTCTAGTGATTGGAAGATGTGGTTGAAGTCATTGCCAGGTAGATCATTGAGGAAGAACTGGATCTCCATGGGGCTCTCCTTGATAGTGTTGTTATGGTCCTCACATATTGTGGTGATCGCCTCAGAGACGAAGAGAAGTGTGTTTGCTCCGAAGGAGCAACCAAGGTCAGCAATGACCATTAATTGAGGATGAAGATCTATGCACACTTCCCGTACAGCTTTCTCAACTATTGGTTTGGCAGCAAGAACAGCTCTTTTCTAGACAGACATGGTAAGTATAAAAATTATGGTCAAACAAATACTCCACTTGTCATGTGCCAACTTCGGTAGGCCCCTGGATTTGATACATGACTTTAATTAATTTAAAGTCCTGTTAGTATTTGCACATGAACAAGTAATGTTAGTGGTTAATTTCTCTATGCTCTATATATACTACCGAGTAGATGCATGAAATCTACAGTACTGCATGAGATAGAATTTACAATTAACAATTTTCTCAGGGCAGCATGTTTAATTTGTAATGAAGCAATAATTTCAAGAATTTGAATGGAAGAAAAGTAGAGAGTTGGTACAAACTTGCATCCTTGAATTCTCAGCATAACTGAACTCATCGTCCCCTTTCATCATGTGGAAATCGCGCTCGATCTTCATGGCTGCAAGATACTTTGGCTAGAAGCTTAATTCCCTGTATGTGTTCCTATCTGCTGCCTAGACAACAACAGTGTTATGTGTGGAGTATGAGAGCTCACGAGAGATTATTTCTTCCTTTTATAGAGAAACCAAATGCATGTCCGATTTCGAACAAGAAAATAAAATTGTATCGATGATAGTTATTCATTCCAAATCAGGGTGCTTGATTCTGGGGTCATAATATACATTGTCCTCGGCGATTGCCTCTTGTTATGTACATAATAGATTTTGCAACTTGTAAAGCCAATCAGTTGATAGTTTGGGGTTATACTATGGGGATGCATTTAAGGTGGGTCTTGGAAAATCTCACGTCCAGTTTGGTGTTCATGCAAATGGATTTGTTGAAACAAGAGTTAGGGATCATGTATGTGAAGGAAAAAAAAAGTTCATTTGTCTCCAACTGAACTATTTCAATGCATCACTTAACCTCCAAAGTTTTTTTTCACTCATTTTACACGAAGAACTATTAAAAACGATTCACTTTGCTCTCTATCGATATTTCTCTTTTTGTTCTTCTAGGACAATGAAATTTAGTACGATTGATAGATGCGCTATAACTTACCTCTCTTTTTTTTTACAATTTTTTTTATCACCGTTTATATAGATCATGAAAAAAATTGATAATATTTTGAAATTTTGATAATGATGTTATCTACGGCTCTACAAAGTTTTAGCTTAAAATAAGACTCGTAAAAGTGTAACAAATCATAGAAATGCTATTAAGGATTAAAGTGAATAATTTTTTATTTGTATAGGGGTAAAATGAGCCAAAAGACTGTTTAGGGTCTAATGAAATAGTTTGGGGGAGTAAAATAGACTTTTTTCTACGTGAAATGGAAGAAACGGTGATGGGTTCCTTTGACATACATTCATTCAAGAATGTAGAGGAATTTTTCCTGTGGTATTCCTTTTTTCTATGTGCATGCTAGATTTAGATTCTAATCTGAATCAGTGTGCTTAATTCCGGAGCATTGCCCACGGTTGCAATTGCTTTCAAACCCTATACGTGCTCAAATCTTACACCTCAAACCAATTAACGCACGTTTTAAACGTTTTAGGGGTCCACACAAGAGTGTTCTAACGATTTCCAGCTACAACACGGTACAACACCAACTTTCTTTTTTTTTTTACATGGGCACATCGTGTGTAACAATAAAAATTAAGTTCATAAGGTACGATGAATGTGTCCATCTAGCCTTTTATACTTGACACCATTGACCAGTGTAATTTTATTTTTACTAAAAAAATATTTTAAATTGCACTGTTGTAAGGGATGCCAGTTATATTTATCATGCATAGCACTCCGCATTATTTTGATAATCCGACATTGTTCTAAATATTTGTAAATCTTTTAAAAAATAAGAGCGGTCAAAGTTTGTAGATCAACATATCTGGTGACAAAGAGCACCAAGGGAGTAATTAATTACTCCCTCCATATTTTAATGTATGACGCCATTGACTTTTCGACCAACGTTTGACCATTCGTTTCATTCAAAAATTTTGTGTAAATATAAAAATATTTATGTCATGCTCAAAGAACATTTGATGACGAATCAAGTCATAATAAAATAAATGATAATTATATAAATTTTTTGAATAAAACGAATGGTCAAACGTTGGATAAAAAGTCAACGGTGTCATACATTAAAATATGGAGGTAGTATTACGTATCATCACTGAAGAAACCACCACTCTAAAGTCTCTATTGCCTAATAGACTTTCCACTTGTACAGAGTACAGATAGAGACACCATCTATATCTTTGATCAACGCAACGACTTACCTGCCATGCGTCAAACCTAGCCTCCGTTTTTTTTTTCTGTAAGGTATGATAACGTCTCCAGGAGAAAATTTTGACGCGTCAGATTATTTTATTTAAGTAAAGAATGCTGTAATTTCTAAGCTTGACCTTATGCTACACCGTTTGTTGGCAAAATCGTCACAAGAAGGACCTCCTGTCTTTTATTTGTTCTTGTTGCTCCATATGTTACTGCTGATTTTGTTCTCCTGAAATTAAAATTCATACGCAGATTGTACCTGAACAGGTTCACATAACTGACAAAGCCAGTTCAAACCCAAATTGGCCAAGTTAGTTTAAAAAGTTCAACATAAATTCAAAATTTTGAGAAATCTTGTTCGATTTTTACTGATTTTAGCTAGCTAGCTTGATGGTACCGGGTTGTATACATCTCTAGTTGCAGATATTGGATGTTTTTATTTGCTTAAAGAATCTTAGAGGAAATGTGTCTGGGCCTCAGGGAAAGTTAGATGATGGGCTGGCATGCTGACATGGCCAGTTTGCACGCATGGCATCTCCTAGCTACTAACACAAAGGGCTCATAAACCTGCCAAGTTGTTAAACCGCTGGTCAAACTGCATAAATTTCTCAAAGACATTGCACCTTTGTGTTTCAAATTGGCAAAGAGAAAGCAAAGAAGTGTTCAACAAGAGTTACTAAATAATAACTGGATTATATCCTTCAGGCAAATAACAACAGTTGAAGAGCTCCACGAATTAGTGAAGTTGGGGAGTTTACTTCAGGGAGTTGAACTAACGCCGAACCCTGATGATATCTCATGGAAGTGGAATGAATCAGGAACCTACTCAAGCAAAAGTGCATACCTGTTTCAATTTGAGGGATCATTCGCTTCCATAGATTTCACCTCACTTTGGAAAGCTCCGGCTGAACCAAAAACAAGATTCTTAATTTGGTTGGCTCATTCTTCATCAGAAAACTCTTACGGTGCAAAATTTACTTCGAATACACTGGCCATGCAATTGGATTTGCTGTTTGTGCACAAGCACCTTTGAAGACACTAATCACTTATTCAGCGAATGCCCTTTTGTAAGACAAGTCTGGAGCATGGTCTGTGCTTGGGAGAATTTGGTGCTAAGCAACGGCCTTACCCTAGACGGAGTTTCAAAATGGTGGTCTGCAATTGAGTGTGCTGGCTCGAAAGATCAAAAGAAGGCGGTAAGGGGGGCAATGTTTCCTACTTGGTGGAACGTTTGGCTTGAGAGAAATAAGAGAATTTTCAACAATATCACAAGATCGGAGAGAGAAGTTGCTTATATTACAAAGCAAGATTTAGACCTTCTTAGATCGGCTTTTAGGCCTCCTTGAGTTTCGATTTTGTTTTGTTTTTATCGGTGTAAGTTTCTCATAGTTTCTCTGGACTGTAAGCACTTAATTCCCCCCCCCCCCTCTAATGAAATTCCGCCAGGTCTCCTGCCGTCGTTCTCCTCAAAAAGACTGCATAAATTTCAAGAGTTAATTTGGTCCATGCTATTACAAATATGGTATATTAGAAAGATGGTATTACAATCCACGTTATCGGCTGGGTGCCATTGAAAATTTCAAAAATTGGAACCATGCCACTCCTGTCACTATTTACGTCCTCCTCTCTCATGTCGCCGTTGTCACCGTCATAGTCCACCCCTAACGCCACCGCCGCCGACGACGACCACCGCCGGCTGTGAACCTGCAGCACCTCGTGCGCCGCCTCTGTCACGGTCGCCGCCGACGTGCCCCACCACCTCCATGGCACCGTCGGTGTGGAAGCTGGTGCTTGCCTCGGCCGTTGTGTCGTTCGTGCTCGCACTCTATGATGGCGCAGAGGACGACGAGGTCAGGGCAACCGCCGTTGTGGAACCCTTCGTCATCTAGCTCATCCTGATAGTGAACGTCGTCACTAAAGTCTGGCAGGAGAGCAATGCCGAGAAGGCGCTCGAGGCACTGTAGGAGATCCAGTCCGAGGACGCAATCATCAAGCTCGACGCTCGGTGGTCCCATGGGCTTCCGGCGCGCGATCTCATCGGCGGCGACCGTGGCAAAGGTAGCACACGGTGCGGACGCACGGCCTCTTCCTCTGGTATCCCGTCCGCGGCTGGCGGTGGTCGTCAGCGGCGGCGGTGGAGTTTGGGAGGGCTGTGCTGCGGCAGCAAGGGCCGCGTCCTCATGCTCCTGTCCCAGCAGCGGCAGCAGCAGCACGCACTCCCTTGACGCCAGCGGCAGGCAACAACAGCAGCAGCGCCGCACTTGATTCTCTCCAGCAACAACAAAACATCTGCAGGCCGAAGCAACAGCAGCAGCCACTAGGCGACGACATCGGCGCCGTGCTTCGCCTGGTCGGCGCGTCGTCGCCCCTGCCGTCGTCGTCGATGTAGGAGGCACGCGAGGTCAGCTGCGGCGGTGGTGGTAGGACGAGGCGGCGCATGGGTGCCGACAGTGACACGATGTGACGGTGAGGATGGCGACGTGAGAGAGCAGGACGGAAAGAGTGACGGGAGTGGCATGATTCCAATTTTTGAAATTTTTAGTGGCACCTAGCCGATAACGGAAATTGTAATAGAATTTTTCTAATATGTCATATTTGTAATGGCATCAATCAAATTAACCCAAGCATGAATTCTTTATGCATGAATGACCCAATCATATTTCTAATATCTTCCCTTCAAGCGGAGTTTTATGCATGAATGATCCTCCGGCAGTGACGTCTAGATAGAATGCAGATTCTTTATCTAGACCCGAATGAAAATGTTGCAACAGCACATGATCGGGTATAGATAAAGGTTGGCCAGATTGCACTAGATTAGTGAACCTGGACCAAACTACACTGATTGATTCTTTGTTTATCTGCTGTAAGCTCAGAATTTCTACCCACAGAGTAGTGATACGGGTTACCGGAAAGAATCTATCTCGCGGTTTTTCCCAGTCACCGTTCACACATCTGACGGTAGATGTGCACCATTGTTTCACTCTCTCGTGAAGAGAGAACGGAAACAATTTCCACCGAACAGTCTCTTGCTTCATGCCTCCAATCTTAAGGCACGAGCAAAGTGCTCAAATTCCCACAGATGATAGTAAGGGTTTTCCTGGTCTAAACCAGAGAAAGATTTCTCCCTAACCATACTGATGAACTCGGGACAAATTTCATAGCCAGGTGTTAAAATAGGCTCTAATGAAGGAGGTGGCTCGTAAAATTCGCCCCGAGGAGCAGATAATTGGAAAATAGATTGTGGCTCCATTGGTTGAGAAGGTTTTACAGGAAGGGGTGAAGGTACAGGAAAGAAAAATAAAAAGGGTACGAGGATGAATGAGGTTCCGAGATAGACAACAAAGGTTCCTCGGCAACGGCGCTAGAAATGCTTGTTGGTATTTCTTACGATCATAGATAAATCCGCAAGCGCACGGAATATACTGATGTAGCACTTCACCCGGGAGTATTCTCAGGTATCGATTTCCACAAGGAACGTGTGTGCTAACTCTGGTTCAGGCTCATCTAAGGACACGAAGCTATGGATAGGCAAAGGATAGAGAGGTTTCACGGGTAAGAAACAATGTCTACAGAAAGCTTAACTTTAATCCTAATGTGGTACTTTGGGCACTGGCTAGCTCGCTACTCCCAGATATCGCTCTACTGCGCACCTGGATAGGGAGGACTTCAGTGATATTGACGGTTGTCACCACCTCTACACCGACCTCACACCTATTGTGGGATGCGGAGCAAACACCAGAAATCAACTATCTAGACACCGCGTCTAAGCAGTTAATAACTACTCTAGTGTTTATAAGTCACTAAAGCAATCACTATATTTTAGTTGACTATAGTGAACGATGATCCCGTACTCTGTTTAGGAACTAACCAAGAAATAAATCTCACTGAGCAAAACTAAATTACTCAAAAGATATTTCAATTATAATCAGAGTAATAAACAGAGCAGAATGAAATAGGAAGAGGATTACCAACAACTCCGGAACTCCTCCGACTTCTTCTACTCTACTCTCTCGCTAATCTAGTATACAATAAAGTACAATTAGAGCCTCTTATAATTTAGCTTATGCTTCAAGTGTTTGTGAATGAGGGAGAAAAGAGGGGTATTTATAGTGTAGAGGTGACTTGAGAGAGTGGAGATGCTATGGAATATTCTCCATAGTATCCAAAGAGCATATTTCTTCTCCTCTTGCCATGTGACCTGTTGATGATGGGTTCCACCGGTATTAATGCTCATAACCGTCATAGGATGAGGAGCACAACCGTCATATCGAAGTTGGGCTGGATTGGGCCACCTGCTGGTTTGGCTGAACCAGGGGTTCGGCCGAACCCTGGCTGGCCCATCCAGCCCAGCCCTTTCTCTGGTGTTCTGACATGTGGGTGCCACTATATGTTCCACTGAAGATTGGCCAAGATAAATGTATCTTATTGGGTTTCTGGGCTCAAAACTCCATAGGCTTGGATATGGAAGTTATATTGCATTTCATCTCAACTTTGGTGGGTTGTATTCTACATACAAATATACATTAACACTCGTGAAAATGGTTAGAAATAAATCCTACCACTATGTTGGATGTTTTACTTTTATGGTCTTATACAGGTATTGACGGTGAGAATTTTGTACTTAACAGCCGTCAACAAACGTGTACGAAGAATAGAAGAAAATGGAGAGAAAAAAAGATAAAGAAAGTAATTCAACATCCATGTGGCATGCTACATGAGCACCACGTAGGATCCCGCAGAGGTTTTCGCAATTTTGGACTAGAATGACAAACACTGACAAGTTCGGAAACCTAAAAAATACATTTTTGAGAGTTTGGGGACCTGGATGACATGGACGAACAAATCTAAGGACCGGCAATGCAATTTACTCCTTCAAAAACAATTTTTTTTTTGCTTTTCTCCATACTGGATCATTACTCCCAGATTTATTTTCATTGAGGCGTGTTCTAGATACCTAAACAAGTTTTTGTAAAAATCTGTGATATACTTCAACAAGTTCTACTGCCCTTTAATTATCCCTTCTTCCTGTTCTCCATATGTTATTATGTCTTTCCTTTTCCCACCATTAGCTTTGCCATGATAATACATGGTGTTATTATCCCCCCCCCACCCTCTCAAGCCAACACCCAGTAAATTGTGCGGCTGTGGTGGTGGAGGGCCTCTTCCCAAGCCCTATGCACCTCCTCCACCTCGATACACATCCCCTTGGAAGGGGGAGTGGTGTGGATGTCACATGCTTGAACGGAATATGTCCGCCATTGGAGCTTTCCCCACCACCTTCACCACCGTTGCAAAACCTTGTGAATCTCCCATCCCATCCCCTTTCCATCTCCAATGTCTCCACTGTAACACCTTCTCTCGGGCAATATTCCTCTACCCAAACTCGCATTGCTCTAGCCTTCGAAGATGCTAGAAAGTGTTTTGAGAAGTGGCGCTAGTGATTCTAGGGCAAGCCATGACTTGAGAAGATCAGGAAAGAAACTGGGAAAGGTAGCAGTGCACCAAGCATGATAGCTCTCACCTTACCGGGTCGGATCCCCATTACACCCTAGACCCAATCGCCATGGCCAGGTCCCTTGTGCTTTACTGTCGCCTCTAGAGTTTTTCCTAACCAATTGAGTTATGCTCACTTTGCGTGTATTATTAAATCATAAAAAAATTATACTCACTCTGTCCCACTAAATAAGGCATGATTGAACTTATCACGGACTCGAAAACTAATCTTTTACATTAAATTTCTCTTATACAACTGTTTGTAGCAACAAAATCATAATCATAGGAAAGTAAATTCAAATGTCAATCTAATGCAGGGGCGCATCTACAGTAATACCACTGGTGTCAGGCGACACCGACGACTTTTGGCAAGCTATGCTTAAACCGCCTATCCATATATTATAACACTATATTCTAAATATAGTTAGCATGCTATGACACCGATAGACACGTTATGACACCAACGAACTAAATTTCTGGATCCGCCACTGATCCAGTGATATTATTTTCATCAAATAAATTTGAAGTTATAATAAAATAGTTATTGGTCAAATATTTAAAGAGTTGAATCTTAAAATACATTTGTGCCTTATTCAGTGGTTCGGAGGGAGTAATTAATAGTCAAAACCAAAAAAGCAGGAGCTTCATTAATTCTTGTTTTAATAAATCCATATATTTTGTGCTAGAAGATCAACAGATTGGATAAATGGACATTGTTGATTTAATGTTTTTGACTAATGTGAGAATTTATTGCATTTTTAGGATTAATTTTGGGGCTTATAGATTCTGCTTATAGGAGAGACTTTAATTAGAAATTAATACAAAGATGGGGATCCATCTTACCAAGTGAGCAACCAAAAGGCCAAAAGCCTCATAAGCTTGCTCTTATTAATTGGGAAGTGCATCTCTAGTTGTTTTTTTTTTATCGAAGTGTATCTCTATTTGTTATTGGAGATACTGATGTTATCATTTGCTTAACATAATCTTGTAGGAGAAGTTGTGAGCTTCGGGAGAATTAGATGCACATATTCTCCTAACACCAAAGAACCCACCATCTTGCATCATATCACACCACATTATTTTCAATTTCTTGCATTAACTTTCACCGAACTTGCCAAGCTGGCATACCATGAGCGCACTTTACTCTATAAAATCACCTTATATTTAAACTTTATATGTTTCTCTGCCAGGATATATTGTTGACACTCTACCGTATAGTACCATTATCTAGCTAGTGTTTTGCCTGCAAGTACAGTGTGATGATGGTGATGCCACTTTTCTCAACCTCACTCTCAATATAACTAGTGAAATTACGTGCAAACACCGTGAAGATCTCCTCGAGTATGTCCTCCCCAAAATGGCTTGCTACCAGGGACTCTGTCGCCACCCTTAGAGTTGCAGACATGCTCTGTCCCGCTGTGTGAGCGGCGGTGGTGCCCTCTGCTTGCTCCGAGTCATGCATGCGGTTCTCATCCATCTCGAAGAGTTGAATGTCACTTATGTCAAGCAGCTCGCACTGCTGCACCAGCTGCGTCAGCTCATCAGCTGAAGGGCAGTACACTGGAATGTTGAAAGAGTCCAGCTTCTCCTTGGCAACACGACCCTGTGTATGCAAATGCAAATTAATTAAACAATAATTAAGAGAATATATTTTCCATGTATGAGTGTTTGACTATATCAACATTGTTGGATTTTATTGTCCTTCAAACTAAAAAAATGTACATGTAATTAGTTTAAGCCCAGTATATACTATTTGGACAAACAAAAACATTTAACTAGGTAGCTTCATTTGACAAAAAATATATTTGTTTTCCACGGCACACATGTATATGTTCATAATTTTGCACGTTTCCTTTACATTGTCAAACGTTCCAAAGCCGTGACAAGCAAAATGTCCAATTTTTAGAGTAAAACCAACAGGGTATATAATTGTCCAATGAATTGAAACCCTTCCAAACAGGATCAGATTGTTACTGCTACTATTTGTATTAGCAGTAGTACAATGCACAAGTATAAAGAGTAACAAATATTAAATGGTCAACTTTACTTGAAACAAAAAGTATTTTTCTTTCCCATATATATGTTCATACTTTTAAGCATTTCTCGTGTGTGTGCACAAGAATATTTTAACATGATTCACATGCTAGGTATTTTAACTAAAATTTTGTTAAGTACCAAAGTACAATTCAAACTTTAGAATAAGTATCTATAGCACTTTTTTTATAATATGGGAGTAGGTAAACAAGGAAATTAATTACTTTTTCTATCGAGGATATCATTATGGTTTAAACTATAATGTGGTATACTCATGTCATGTACATTATACCTCAGCAACAAGAATACGTAGCCCTTGTGAAAGCAAATCAAATATCGTGGTCGTCCCTCCTGCATTGAACACATCTTTGCTCTTCCTCCCAGCAACCGTCAGCACCATCCGGCCTCCGGGCACAATCTCCATGCATCTCATCTGGAGGAACCGTGAGAAGTCTTTCTCAAACTGATTTTGGTAGAGCTTTGCCACGGATGGTGGTGTAGTCGCTCCTATGTGAATGTTCCCCTCATTCATGCTGCCATCAAGCTGCTCAGGAACCTTTCCAAACAACCAACGTTTTAGGTGAGCGCAAAGCCCCAAAGTTCAATAACTTAGGATCCTAATTAAGCTAGCTAGTTTATGCAATGAGACATAAATAAATAAGCATCACCTGAGAGAGTCACATGACGCTCATGGAGGAATGGAAGAGATGGACGCTATTACAAGGGAAGAGTCTAGTGTAGAAGGAACCTGGCAGGCCTGCGACAAAGTGCGGGGGAGGTTGTAACCCTTTGCAAGCGCAATATTGCGTTATCAACTGCTCGAACTGCTCTAGTGATTGGAAGATGTGGTTAAAGTCATTGCTTGGTAGGTCATTGAGGAAGAACTGGACCTCCATGGGGCTCTCCTTGATGGTGTTGTTATAGTCCTCATATATTGTGGTGATCACCTCAGAGATGAAGAGGAGTGTGTTTGCACCGAAGGAGCAGCCAAGGTCAGCAATGACCATTGATTGAGGATGAAGATCTATGCACACTTCCCGTACAGCTTTCTCAACTATTGGTTTGGCAGCAAGAACAACTCTTTTCTAGACATACATGAAAAATATAAAAATTATGGTCAAACAAATACTCCACTTGTCATGTACAACTTCGATAGGCCTGTGGATTTGGTACATGACTAGTAATTCAAAGTCCCGTTTAGTATTTACACATGAACAAATAATGTTAGGGGTTATTTCCTCTATGCTCTATATTACTGAGAACATGCAATCTACAGTAGTGCTCAAGATAGAATTTACAATTAACAATTTTCACAGGGCAGCATATTTATAATTTATATTGAAGCAACAATTAATTTCAAGAACTTGAATGGAAGAAAGGTAAGAGAGTTGGTACATACTTGGATCCTTGAATTCTTGGCATAACTGAACTCACTGTCCCCTTTCATCATGTGGAAATCTCGCTCGATCTTCATGGCTGCAAGATGCTTTGGCTAGAAGCTTAATTCCCTGTATGTGTTGCTATCTGCCTAGCTAGACAACAGCAGTGTTATATGTGTGGCGTATGAGAGCTCACAAGAGATTATTTATTCCTTTTATAGGGAAACCGGATATGCACGTCCGATATTTCAAACAAGAAAATAAAAATATATGGCTGATATTTATTCATTCTAAATCAAGGTGCTTAATATTGTATTTGATACAATCCAATTAGTACGGGATTATATCAAATACAAAATTCTCAGGCCATGAGATATTGGCACTATGTAAGCAATACTCACAAACTTACAGGCGGTTTTTCTAAGTATCCACCAGTGAAAACCATGAATTTTAAAGGCTGTTTCTTAAGAAACAGTCTGTAAAAAATGTGGTGACTTTTATAGGTGGTTCTCTTAAATAAAATACATGTAAAAATGTTTTTTTACACTGTCCTTCAAAATTGAAGCAATATGTTCTGGATTTAAAGAAAAGTCAAATGATTATAAATTTTATATTAAAATTGTAGCTCTTGATGAGATCTATAAAAGTTTTTTTTATTTGAGATCACTTTTCAGGCCGAAATAGTCATTACAGGCTCTCAGGACATAGGGTAATTTTGCACATTGTCAGGGTTATGGATACCACATACCCAATAGTAATCGATTAATCTCGGCAGGGCCCAGCACATACCAAGTCTTATACGGAATCATAACTCGTATATAAAAGGAGTTCCGGATAAGGAAGGACAAATAGAGTTCTATATGGAAATGACAAAGACTACACGGATTGTATCTATATTGGTCTCTCTAGTTCTACTTGGACAATGCGACATCTATAGGTATAAATACAAGCCTCCCTAGAAGGAGAGGGGACAAGCCACAAGGCACAACATACACACAAGGCAATACGCCACTAAATATCGACATCAGAGATTAGCCTAGACATACCCTATCCGGCGCCTATGGAGGCCGGCAAGAGGGATCTAGCTCTATCTCTGATCTCGACGAGATCATATTCGAGGAGGAAGACTACCCTGCCGTCGACTACGAGTTGGTTATCCATGCCGCCAAGTCGACGACCTTATCTCAAATATTGTACTGGTGTGATTATGATGAATAAGAGCAACACCAGTTTCGGCCAACAGGAGTTGGGCTATCACCTGTCAGATAAGAGGTCCGAACCTGTATAAAAATACTTGTCTCCATCTCTATTAACTCAATCTCGCATATACCCTGGTACCAACGATCCCCATACCATCCAAATACCGTAGTCGCGGTACCACCCGTTGACACACGTGATATTTTAGGAATTTCAAACTCTGATATTCATAGAAAATTCATTTTAAGTATGATTTAGATGAACTAAAGTTCTCTAAAACCTTTGAAATATTCCCTTTAATATGGCATGGACTATATTCCCTTAATATGGCATGGTCAACACCAACTTTCTTTTTTTTTCTTTTCTTTTTTTTGCATGGGCACGTCATATATAACAATAAAAAGTTCATAAGATACGAATGAACATGTCCATCTAGTCTTTTATACTTAACACCAATGACCAATGTAATTTTACTTTTGACTAACAAATCTTTTAAATTATTTGTAATGTTGTAAAGGATGCAAGTTATATTATCATGCATATTACTCCGTAGTATATATTTTGATAATACGACATCGTTCTAAATATTTGTAAAGATTTTTTTTAAAAAAAAGATGAGCTGTCAAAGTTTATACATCAACATATCTGGTGTCAAGTAAGATACAACGGAACGGAGAGAATGATTAAATACTACTTCCTCCGTTTCACAATGTAAGATTTTCTAGCATTGTCTATATTTATATTTATAGATGCTAATAAATCTATATATATAATAATGTCTAGATTCATTAGCATCTATATAAATGTGGGTAATGCTAGAAAATCTTACATTGTGAAACGAAGGGAGTACCACCGAAGAAAACACCACTCTAAACTCTAAAGTCACTATTGCCCAATAGACTGTCCACTTGTACATAGTACAGATAGAGACGCCATCTATATCTTCTATTGTAAAGTCTCTATTACCCAACAAACTGTCCACTTCTACAGAGTACAAATAAAACCGCCATCTATATTTTGATCAACGCAACAACTTACCTGCCATGCATCGAACCCAGCCTCTGATTGGATTGTCCACTTGTACGGAGTACAGATAGAGACGCCATCTATATCTCCTACTCTAATGTCTCTATTGCCCAATAGACTGTGCACTTGTACAGAGTATTCCGTTTAAATTTTGATAACGTCCCGAGGAGAGGATTTTGACATGTCAGATTATTCCATTTAAGGCCGTGTTTAGATTGAAACTTTTTAATTCAAACTTCCAACTTTTCCGTCACATCAAATATTTAGACATATGCATGGAACATTGAATGTGGAAAAAAAACCAATTGTACAGTTTGCATGTAAATCGCGAGACGAATCTTTTGAGCCTAATTACGCCATGATTTAACAATGTGGTGCTACAGTAAACATTTGCTAATGACGGATTAATTAGGCTTAATAGATTCGTCTCACAGTTTGTAGGCGGAATCTATAATTTCTTTTGTTATTAGTCTACGTTTAATACTTCAAATGTGTGTCCGTATACTTAAAATAATTTTGGCACATGAACTAAACACAGCCTAAGTAAAGAATGGTGCAATTTCTAAGCTTGACTTTATGCTACACCATACAGTCACCATGCGTGCTTCACTATCGATGGGTATGTTGCTTGTTACTGAAAAAACTAATTAGCCGTAAATGCGAGCACCCTTGTCAAGTTTAGGACTTGAACCTGCTGAGTGGATTGGTTCCACACAAGCAAACCTAACCAGTTGAGCTACACTCACTTCGCTATGTTAGGCATTATATTGTTCTCCTGAAATTAAAATTCATATCCAGATTTGTACTTGAACAAGTTCACATAACTGACGAAACCAGTTCAAACCCAAATTGGCCAAGTTTGTTCAAAAAGTTCAACATAAATTCAAAATTTTGAGAAATTTCGTTTGATTTTTACTGATTTTAGCCAGCTTGATGGTATCGGGATGTACATCTCTAGTTGCAGATATTGCATGTTTTTATTAGAAGTACTATTCAGCAGCCAGCGCTCGGATTAGAAAAAGACGCGCCTCACACATCAATCCCACATTCCCACGCACCACCACCCCTCCTCCTTAGTCTGATTAGGGTAATAATTTTACCCAAGCCATTCCATGTTTTTATACAACAGGAATGCTAAATAGCTGTCGCATGATTTTTGATAGCTAAATCATTCATGTTTCAATATATTAGAACCGTTGTTTCATACGTTGTAGCAAAATGTTTCACGAGGTGATTTAATTGTGATCTACTTGGTGAAACATTTACGGTGTTTCAACTTTCTAAAAGATTGAAACATTTTTTATCTACTTGGTGAAACATTTACGGTGTTTCAGCTTTCTAAAAGATTGAAATATTTTCAATCTACTTGGTGAAACATTTTTGATCTATTTGGTGAAACATTCAGAACCGTTGTTTTCATATGTTGTAGCAAAATGTTTCATGGGGTGATCTGATTGTGTTCCAGCTTTTTTAAAAGATTGAAACATTTTCGATCTACTTGGTGAAACATTTTTTATCTACTTGGTGAAACACTGCTTGATGAAAGACTAAGAAATCATGCGAATCCCATATAGACAGTCCCTTTATACTATACCGTAACAATCCAACAACCCATCCATTCCTTCCACCACGATACTATTTTTCCGGATTGACCAAACAACGAACAACCACCGTATCTCGAGCAACGTAACATGCATCGGCAGCGGATGAGGGGCGGATCTATAGTAGAAGGGTCGGTGTCAAACGACACCAACGACTTTTGGCAAAAAAACTATAGTGAAACTTCTTATCCATATGTTATAACATCATTATTTAAGCATAATTAGCATACTATAACACTGATAGACACGTTATGACACCAATGAATCGATTTTATGGATCTGCCACTGAGCGGATCAACGGAGTGTGGGAGGAGGCGCAGGAGGAGGTCACTACTATAAAAATGATTTTTCCGTGCGGAGGTTTTTGCCCGTCTGCACCCACGGGTCTGGAAAAATCAACATTTTTTTCCGTACGGGCGCCCCAACCGCACAGGATAATAATCTTCCCGTGCGGTCGGGTTAAGTGGACCACACTGGATAATCGATTATCCCGTGCAGTTAAATTATACCGCCCGCACGCAACAAAAAAAAACCAAAAAAAAATCAAAAAAATAAAAAAAGCCTAACCCTAACCGTAGAAATGCCTGCCGGTGCCCTCCGCCGCCCGAGCTCACCACTCCCGGATCCGCACGTCATCATCGTCCCGCCCGCCACCGTCCGCGCCCGCTGCGCGTGCACGTCGAGCCGGCGGTGCCGCCTCGTCGTCGTTGTTGTCGCGCCTGCCGCCGCCGCCCGAGCTCGCCGCTCCCAGATACGCACGTCATCATCGTCGTGCCCACCACCGAGCCGCGCGGGGCCCCGCCGCTGTCTGCGCCTGCTGCGCATGCACGCGGAGCGAGCGGCACCGCCTCGTCATCGTCGTCATCGCGCCCGCCGCAGCTCGTTCGCTCGCGGAGCCGCCGCGGCGCCTCCGCCAGCAGCCGTCGGTGGCGGCGGCGCTTGATCGATGGGGAGGGGAGGAGAGGAGAGGAAAGAGGCAGAGAGAGAGGAGAGAGAGGAGTGGGTAGGAGGGAAAAGAGGCATAGAGAAGGGAGGCGAGTAAACAGGGAGAGAGAATAAAATGGAAAAAGGAAGAGAGAGAGTGTGCGTCAAAATTTTAAAATGGGTAGGAGGAAAAAGAGGGGGAGTATTTTTCTGTGCGGTCTTGCACGCGAAAATCGATTTTCCCATGCGGTCCTCTTAAGTCGCCTGCATGGGATAGTGAGGATTATCCACTGCGGTCGAATTAAGACGTCCGGGAAAATGCATTTTCCCGTACGGGTGACAGCCTGATGCCGATCCCCTTATTTTTCCATGCGGTTCCAGTTATGGCCCGCCAGAAAACAAAAGCGCTCGGCGTCCAGGAAAATCTTTTCTCTAGTGGGTGGTGGTGTTGTGCTGCTGGTGGGAGCAACGTGGTCGAGGGTGGATCCAGGTGACAGCTGATATGGGTCGGAGGTGGAGGCCTGGCGGTGACCGTGCAGGCAGGGATAAGCCACTGATGCTCGCTACAGGGAGCGCGGCGGTGAGGTTTGTACGTAGCCACTCGATCTGGTGTAGGGGATGCTTGAGCCTTGAGGTCACCAGAGTCTGTGACATGGAGATGGAGGTCTGTGTGGAACCCATCAGACCGTCGGCGCGCCGCCACCATTTGCTCTGCCTTCCATTGGCCACTCACGTCTCTCTCTCCATGGCTGAGCTCCGGCCGTCTGCTAGCCTCACACCAGGCGCCCTGCCCGGGATGAGTTTAGGGGAGGAGGACGCCCATCCTTGGCAAGGAGGATGACGCTTGGGGGGAGCGAGAGACAGGAACGGTTCCCAAGATGCCGGGGAGTGGCGGGGACACCAGATCTGGTGGTGGTGGGATCATAACCGCCAGGATGCCCAGATTCGATGCCAGCGTGGGTGAGGAGGATGGATCCGTCAGGAAGCCTTCCACCAGTGCCACCTCCTCCGCGGCATGTCGCTTCCGCCGCTGGGAACCACGCCAATACTAGAGGCGGTGAGGTGATGGGGCAGGGGGACGGTTCCTGGCGGCGGCGACCTCGATATCGGCCACCGTCCGGATCAACCCCATCCACCGTTCATCTCCGGTCACAGTCCCACCTGTCACTTGTCCTGCGTAGCACCGGGCCGATCTAGCGCACCAAAAAATGTAGGAGGCGCACGACTGGCCCGTCCTTGAAACTGCATTGGCCTTTGAGCTGTCAGCAAACCGGCTTCTCCGTTTCCACCGGCAACGACAGCATAGGCTGGAAACGAATATGGTATGAGAATATTTCGTCCGTATCCACTACGATTTCATCTCTGCAGTTAGGTAGGTAGAATCATTTGGTGTGGGACACGTGGGTTGGGGTTGACTGAGGCGCTCGAAATAACCAGGAGTGCGTTGCGCAAGTCTATATAATATATAATAGAAAAATATATTTTTTTAATCAAATAGGTTAGTGCCACTTGTTTAAACAAAATATTGGATCATTTTATAATATTAGATAATATCATGGGTCGATTTATAAAATTAAAAAACAGTGATGGTTGAAAGTGAGTCTACCACCGCAAGCCTTCTAAAGAAGTATATATTACATTAACTTGTACTCACTCACCTAGCTAATACACAATGAGCAATGTTTGCTTAAAAAAAGTTACTCACGAGGATGTATATAGTTGAAACAACTGTAGGGAGAGCACAAATGTTCACAGTCGACTACCATTAGGCTGAGTTCGGCTCTTCATCTTCTCAACCCACCACTTTCATTTTCCGCGCACACGCTTTCCAAACTACTAAACAGTATGCTTTTTTAAAAAAAAACTCTATATGAAAGTTGTTTTTAAAAAATCATATTGATCCTTTTTTTAAAAAAAAAAGCTAATTCTTAATTAATCACGTATTAAAAGACCACTTTGGTTTTGCGTGTAGGAGGGATGGGTTCCCATCATGCAGTGCAGAACACAGCCTTAGCTTATATAACAATTTAGTGTTTTGGCTGCAAGGACAATGTGATGACTGGCACAGGGCTCTTCTCAACCTCACTCTCAATACAGTTGGTAAAATAGCGAGCAAACACCGCGAAGAGCTTGTCAAGTATGGACTCTCCGAAATGACTCGCGATCAGGGGCTCCTTCACCGCCCTCAGGCTCGTAGAGATGGTCTTGCCGGCGGCCTCAGCGGCAGCGGCACCATGGATGATGACAGGTGCAGCAGCAGCATCCTCTGCTGACTGATCTGAGCCGCCATTGGGGTTCCCGTTAATCTCGAAGAGCCGGATGTCGGTGATGTCAAGCAGCTCATTCTGCCACACTAGCTCCTTTAGCTCATCAACCGAAGGGCAGTACAATGGCAAGTTGAAGGAGTCCAGCTTCTCCTTCTCAACACAGTCCTGACGCGGAAAATTAAATCAATTAAAAGGCATTCTACCAGTAAAGCCTAATATATATTTGGATAAAGCAAAATTAGTTATAACCAGTTAGCTTTATTTGAAAACAAAAACATGTATTTGTTTTCTGTAGTACACACATGTTTTTACACGTACACCGTCTTCTTTTAATTTTCACTGTCTGCGAAGTTGTGCCAAGCAAAAGCACCGATTTCTAGTTTTCTATTAACACCTTAAATATTGGTAGTCAAACTGAGACGTGCCCCCATTTAAATACTTTTTTTTGCCCGAAAACCCCATTTAAATATTGGTAGATAATTGCCCAATAAGTCAAAAACATATATATAAAGATTGTTCATGCTACTATTTCTAATAGTAGTAGAAAAGACGACGATTATTTTTTATCAACGAAAGAGATGAAATTAATTGATGGATAGTTGTGATAGCTTGAGATGAGTGACTAGGTAGAATAGTAGCTATATCTTGGGATAAAATTTGAACGCTAGAAGTAACTATATTTTGCGATGGAGAAAATAAGAAAAAAAAATCTTTGTTTTGTCTTAAAATAGCACCTATCTTTGAAAAATTAACTGGTGGACTATGGTGACCACGCTTCAAGTATTAAATTGGGTGTATGATGTTTATTAACTAAAATTTAAACATTCTTTTTAAGATTTTGATTCTAGAACTGTACAGTTCTAGTTAGATAGGTACATGTACCATCCAAACATATAATTAGTTAGATAGGTATGTTGTAATGGGACAGTAAAATAATGTTGAATTTGAGTTCTTCTATTGCTAGGTATGGCTATGAGTTAAATTATTACCCACAAGTTGAAAATTTTTTTAAAAAGGGAGCCAATTCATGTATTTTAAATCTTGAAGCCCCGTATGGCCATCCATTTGTCTTTCCCAATGTTCATACTTTTAATAATTTCTTGCCTGTAGAGATGCATATTTTAACATGCTTTACATGCTAGGTAATTTCACGAAATAATTTGATAAGTGCCAAAACGCAGCTCAATCGATCTTTAGAGCATGTATTTATAGTGCTTTTTTGTTTTTGAAGTGGGAGCTGGTAAACCTAGTGATTAATTTTTCTATCAAAGAATATCTCATGATGTAAACAATAATATGGTACTCATGTCATCTAAATTATACCTCTGCAACTAGAGTTTGCAGCCCTTGTGAAAGCAACTCGAATGCCATGGTCGTCCCTCCTGCACTGAATACATCTGTGCTATTCCTCCCTAGCATCGTCAGCACCATCCGACCTCCAGGCACAATCTCTTTGCACCGCATTTGTAGGAACCGTGAGAAGTCCTTCTTGAATTGATTTTGGTAGAGCTTTATCACCAATGGCGGTGTAGTCAACCCTATGTGAATGTTCGCTTCATTCATGATGCCATCAAGGTTCTCGGGGACCTGTCCAAACGACCAATGTGGTTGGTGATCTCAAAGCCCCAAAGAGGAACTTAGGAATCTAAATTAAGTTTATGCAATGAGTCATATATTAAGATAATTTACCTGAGAGAGCCACATGAGGCTCATGGAGGAATGGAAGAGATGGACGCTGTTACAAGGAAAGAGTCTGGTGTAGAAGGAGCCTGGCAGACCTACGACATAGTGTGGAGGAGATTGCAACCCTCTAGAAGTGCAATTTTTTGTTGTCGACTGCTCAAACTGCTCCAGTGATTGAAAGATATTATTGAAATCATTGCCAGGTAGGTCATTGAGAAAGAATTGGATCTCCTTCGGTCTCTCCCCGATAGTATTGTTAGGGTTTTCGCCTATTGTGGTGATTGCATCGGAGACAAAAAGGAGTGTGTTTGCACCGAAGGAGCAACCTAGGTCAGCAATGACCATCGATTGAGGATGAAGATCTGTGCACACTTTGCTTATGGCTTCCTTGACTGTTGGCTTGGCAGCTAGAATAGCTTTTCTCTGCATAGATATGAGGGGAAAAAGGGAAAAAATTGTGGTGAAACAATTACTCCATTTGCCATGTGCCCACTCTGGTGTAACTAGGCCCATGACAATCCAAAGTGTGGTGGGACTGTATATTTGGCTCATGACTCTATAGTTAATCCAAACTAGTGTCAATAATAACATAGTACCCACTAACAATTATTATATTCTAAAGCACAACATACAAATATGCCATATCATTACCACTAGTAATTATTATTGTAGAGCATCTTAAACCTGATGCAACATGACACCATCATCTACAATTTATTATATTCCAGAGGTCAACATGCATCTGCATGAAAAATCATAATTCACATATTATTTTTATAATATTTTAACATATCTCTATTCATTATTTCTATAATATTTAGCATACAATGATTCATGCATGCATTTCGCAACAGAATGCATGGCATCATCTAGTTATATAGCAAACAGCAATAGTGTGGAAAATTTTTATATGCTCTATATTACTGATTACATGCATGCAATCTACGTTGTGGAAGATGATAATTGCATTTGACAATTTACGCAGAAAATCATGTTTAGTTTGTAATGAAACGGCAATTAATTCCTTTCAAAAACTGAAACGGCAATTAATAAGCACACAATTATAACATAATGGAGAAACAAAAGGTAGAGTCAGTTGGTACAAACCTGCATCATAGAGTTCTTGGCATAGCTGAACTCATCATCCCCATCATTCGTCATGTGGAAATCACGCTCGATCTTCATGTCTGCGAGATGCTAGAAGCTCAATCCCTATATTTGTTGCCACCTGGGCCCAAACAACAAAACAGTGTTTGAATGGAACTTGAGAGTTCACAGGAGATATTGCAATCTTTTATAGACAAACCGAATGCTCAATTCCTGATCGACTCCTAAAAACTGGATGAATGATGCTTGTTCATTCTAAACCAGGGTGCTCAATTCTGAGGTTTGAGATACATGAATTGTCCTTGGGAATTGTCTGTTTTTATTTTCTACATAATATACTTTGTAAAGCCAGTCAGTTTTGATCAGTTGATTGTCTGGAACATATACTATGGGATGCATATATGGTGTATTTCCTGGAAATCTCTCTCTGGTCGCTGCTTTGTGGTGCAGTGCACACACAACTTGATTGTTAGAATAATGGGTTAATTAAGGGCTTCTTTGGAATGCATGATTATAGACTTATAGTAATGTTGGAATAGAAAAACACATTATTAAGATGTATGATTTTGCTAGTACCATGGTTAGGCAAAGGTTGTGTTTTGGAGAGCTCCCATACAGTTTAATTCAGAACATGATCAGAAGCTAGAATCTAAAAAATCTAAGATTCTAAATTGACCTTTGGCTAGGGGGAAGTTAAAAAAAACTTCCTTTAGCTATGTAGAAAAATTGTTACTCCCTCTGGACTAGGATTATATAAGGGATTATTCCCTTTTAGCACTAATTAAGGAAGAGAAAAAAGTGTGAACTCCATCGGTTGCCCTAAAAAGGCAAAGCCAAAGCTAAAATTTGAATTTTCAAACTTAATTTTGAAGTTGATTTTATGATAGGATCGGGGATTAGTACTAATAGTACACGTGATTTTCTCTGTGTGTCTTTTCAGATGGGAAGGGGTGGGAGTGGGATTGCTGATGGTTGTTGTACTGATCCTCTCGGGATAACCAAAATCCTCCATAATTTTGGACAAACCCAAGGACCATAATTTCCTATAATTATGGATAGAGGGAGTATAAGATGGATCTAGTTTTTTTCTTTTAAAATACATATTATTTAATGTTGAATGACTGTTGTTTTTATTTTGGCTCGGCTCATTAAAAAATATGGTCTTAAATGTAGAGAAAAATATGGTAAATTAAAAAATAATTTCAAAGAAACCTCGATAAAAAGGTGGCCAAGCTTTACCTAGCCATATTATTGCGGTTCAAAGGAAGCCCTACATTGCTCTATAATGTTGTGTGTGGAGCTTGGAGCTTATGATAAGAATTGCTTCCTCCGTTTCATATTATAAGACTTTTAAAGTTAATATTTATGTGTCTATATTCATTAACATATATATGAATGTGGGTAATACTAAAAAGTTTTATAATATAAAACAAACGGAGTAGTTTCATTTCCACTAGTCTATAAAGACAATAGAGATCTCTACTTTATATTCATAGTGTGCATGCTAGATCAGATTCTAGTATAAATCAGTGTGCTCGATTCCTGGACATTCCCCACAGATGGCTGCCATAATTACTTTCAGCCGTACTTCTGGAAGAAAATTTTGTTCATTTGGGAACATTGTAGAACACATTTTGTTGAATCTCTTGAATATGAAGATGAAGATAAAAATTAAATGTTTCACATAAAACGATGTAGTAACAATGTCTGATTATTACAAACTTAAAAAATGGATTAATCCGATATTTTAGAGCAACTTTCATATAGAAAGTTTCCACACGAAACACACCGTTAAGCAGTTTGAAAAACATGCCACGAGTATCCAAAATTTCATCCAACTCTAATAAGAGAAACGAACGCACCAAAGTAAGTCCAAATTAAATTTGATGTCAATTTTTGAACCGTCACTCATATAGGACTCCATCTATATCTTGTGTTCCATGCTAGGTGGTTCAAGTCTGAGACAATGTTCTGATCAGGAGTATAATTTGACACGTCAGTTTATTTAATTTAATTAAGTAAGTAAAGAATGTTTCCAACTTTCCAAGTCTGACGAAACTGTCACCAATGTCCCTATGAGGCGGACCTCCTGGTCTATTTCTTCTACATAGTTCATCCATTCCATAAAAAATTAATATGAAATGTAATATGACACATCTAGTAATATAAATATGAAAAAATATATCCAATTTCATAGTATTAAGATGTGTCACATCATATACTAGATTTATCTTTTTATGGAATGAAAGAAGTACGTGTGTTGTCGTTGATTATTTCTTTCTTCTAACATTCAAATCCAAATGGCACCCGATCAGGTACATAGAACCGATCAAAACCGCTTGGTATTTGTGATTTTCTATTGACTCTTTATGGCTCACACCAAGAAACCGCCCGGTAAATATGAGGAAATTGGACGTGTCCATTGAGGTGGAGCATGAAAAAAAATTGGGTACGTGTTTTACCAGACCCCTTTTTGACGGAACCAACCTAGTTTTATTTTCAAAAGAAAAATTAAAATTCAATTTTGTAGTAAAACTTCTTGTCGTTTTAAGGTTTTACCTATTTTCAGCAGCTTTTAAGAACTAATCGAGAAAAAGAAAGGACGAACGGGTTGGGAACGGTATTCTGTTGTCAAACAATTCTGAAAACCACGAGAGATAAAAACGGCCTCTCGTATCGCCCCTCCCCCACGGGCGTCGCCTCCCCGGGGCTCGTCTCCCCTTCCTCCTCTACATCGCCGCTGCCCGAGCGCGGCCACAAGAATGGTGGTGGCGGGGCTTCGTCCTCGCGCTGGGGAATGGAAGGGGGGCCTGCTCGGGCGGCGGAACCGCCTAGATCCATGTCGCCCGGGCGGATCTGGTGATGGGGCAGCTGGCGGCGGGGCTGAGCGGTGCGGCAGCGGTGTCTAGTGGCAGTGGCAACGGCATTCGAGGCGTTGGCGGCGGCGGAGGAAACCGCCAGATCCACGTCTGGATTTGGCAGGATAGCGGCCGGCAGCGGCGTTTAGTGGCGGGGATGGCGACGGCGGTGAGGACGGCGAGGGGATGTAGCCAGCGGCGGTGTCTGGCGGCGGGGGTGGCGAGGGATGGCATCGATGAGGCGAACCTGGCCGCGCCGGCGGTGGATCCAGTGCCTCGAGGAGTTTTGGACCCCCGGCGGTCGCGGCAGTGGTGGCGAGGAGTTCACGCGACGGCGGCGCGGGCTACCACGGTAGGCCGTCTGTGTCGTCGGAGCTCGTCGAGGATAAGCAGGTGTGGGAGGGTGGCGAGATGGCAATGGGGATTGAAGGGCAGCGGCGGCTGCGGTGGTGGCAACCGTCACCGTGGTCCGGGGAGGCATGGCGGTCTTGGACGGCTAGCCGGGGGCGTGGCAGACGACCGCACCTAGCCGGCATAGCAGCGTTTGGAGGAGGGGTCGGAGGCCGGCTTGGCGCAGAGAGGCGCAGTCGATGGCAGTGGATGCCGGCAGGCGCGAGAGGCACGGCCGGTAGCGAGGAGGCCAGCTTGGCGCGAGAGGCGCAGCCAATGGCGGGAGGCCAGACTGGCGTGAGAAGCGTGTCCGGTGGTGGAGGAGGCCGGCGCGGCGCGATGAGGCGCGGTCGGCAGTAAAGGAGGTGACCACGGTGTGAGGAGGAGCTGCCGGTGGGTGTGGCGCGGTCTTCGGCGCACGAAGGCTAGCTAGCGGGGGGTGCCAGTGTAGTGGTCCCACATGTCGGCAGAGGTTGAGCGGTGGTGGAGCATCGGTGCATCAGCCGTGGACTCGCAGGTGATGAGCGGCGGGTGAAAACCCAGCCCGTCCTTGGCCAAACCGACAACGATGGTTCATTCCCCCTCCTGAGAGCGTTGTCGTGACGTCTCATCCCTCAAGGGTGGTTGCAGGGGGAAAGCCCAGTCTTGGCTCTTTTGAGTCCCTGACGGACGGCGGCGGCGGTTTTCCGTCGCTTCTCTCCTTAGAGACGTCGTTTAGGTATACTCTTGCCAAAACTACCCAAACGATTAGTGCAAGCACGCTCTAGGATAGAGTTGGGCTTTGTGTTGGTTGTAAGGGCGTTTATTGGGCGTTCTTGTTTGTGTTCCTTTGTTGACCTACGGCGGTCGGCCACGCTTAGCGGTGGCCGGTTCGATGCTAGCCTTCTCCTGGATCTGTGTGTCGGTGTTGTCGGTGTGTGGGTGGTGGTATATTTTTTCCATTTTCCCAGTTACGATCTTCTAAAGTTGTAATCTTTTTTTTTCTACTCTATCAATAGAACTTCGCATCGTCTCGTGTGAGTCCTTAAAAAAAAAACAATTCTGGAAACCTGCGCCCGAGCAGAAATTCGTGATTTTTTTAACCCAACACAAAGAGCAATGCTACCACAAAGCAGTGCTCGGATTGATGTGATATAGAGCATGTCCGCTTCTGGATTTTTATCCTATTGAGCTGGTATCGAACCAAATACTACTAATTTCTAAAGACTGAGATGAGAAGTAGGTACTCCGGCCGTTTCATATTATGTGTTGTTTGATTTTTTAGTGAAACTTTGTTAAGGTTGATTAAGTTTATAGAAAAAAATAACAAAATCTGAAATATCAAATTAGTTTCATTAAATTTAATACTGAATATATTTTGATAATATGCTTATTTTGTATTAAAAATACTACTATATTTTTCTATAAACCTAGTCAAACTTTAAAAAAACATATTTCCAGTTCCATGAAATTCAGTTACGGAGCCAAATCAAAATGTAAACTCTTCATAAGCTCTTCATAATTTCCAATATCATTTGACTTTAAGCTCTTCATAAGGGACAGATAGTTTCGGCTCAGATTTTTTTTTTTTTGAGATGACGAAGGGCGTGATGGGCTCTTACCATCTGACGACAGCCCATGGGCCTCAGCACAGCCTCAAAATGAATAAGTCCATTTTGCCTCCCTCATCTCTTGCCCTTGTGTGAATAACATCCCCAAACCGTAAAACCGGGTATAACGCCTCCTTCATCTCTTAAAACTAGAGCAAATGACCTCCCTAAGCGGTTTAGCAGGCGGTTTCGTCCGACTTGGCGCCATTGACCCGGTTGACAAGCTGACTCAGTGTGAGCGACCCACATGTTAGTGTATTGTATGTACGAACTAGGCCGAGCTGAGTCAGCTGGACGGTAAAATTATTGGCGCGCGGCTCGCATCTCTCTCTCTATCCCCATTTCACCCCTTTGACCAAAACCCTAGACCGGCAGGCGACGGCCAAGGCGACGCGAGGTGCGGCGGCGGCGGCGGCGGCTGGTGTGGAGCACGGCGACGGCTGGTGCGGAGCACGGCGGAGCATGGTTGCGGCTGCGGAGCGCGGCGCGGCACGGCTGGCCGGTCGAGAAGCGCGGCAAGAGGGTTCACCTGGGTTGAATGTGTGGCCGTGGTTCGTCCTCTTTCCCTTGTCTGAATGCTTCCATTTGATTTGTTTTGATTTTATAATGCCGGTAGATTTGTTTGTGGTCTCGGGGTGGGTGTGTTTGAATAATTTTTTAGGTTGGCTAGCAGGAGCTGTAGCTCAAGTGGATTTTTTTTTTGTGCTTGAATCATGTAAAGTGTGTTGGAATCTGGATTGGCCGTACTGGGGTTAGGGGCAAAGTTTTAATTTATTGAGATTTGCATGTAGGTTAACACATCTGGAGTTTTTTTTGGAAATAATATTATTTTAATGGAAAATCGCAAAATTATAGGTCAGTTAGACGAAATCGCAAGTTTAGCACCCTGTCGAACGGAGGCAGTTCGAAAGGGTACCTGTCGAACTGCCCCAGTTCGACAGGTAATAAAATAACATAAAAAAGGAAAAACACTGTAGCGACACTGTAGCGACACTGTAGCGACGCTGCCTATCGAACTCCCGCTGTTCGATACGTCCATGCCACGCGCCCTATCGAACTCCCCCTGTTCGATACGTCCCTATCGGGCACTGTAGCAAGTACTTTTTTATTTTTTTTCTTGGACAACTAGCCTGTCGAACTAGGGCAGTTCGACAAGGGTTCGACAGTACCCTGTCGAACTGCCCCAGTTCGACAGGGGTACCTATCAAACTGCCCCAGTTCGACAGGGCGCTAAACTTGCGATTTCGTCTAGCCGACCTATAATTTTGCGATTTTCCATTAAAATAATATTATTTTCAAAAAAAATTCAACAGCAATCATGGATGTGCTTGGTACTTTAGCAATAAGGTTTCATTTCAAAGGCGAGTTTATTAGGTCAGGGAGGCAGAACAACTACTATGGTGGAAGAGAGGCCATGTCTTACATCAGTCGGGATAGAGTCACTTTCTGAGTTAATTGCAGCTTTGCGTGAACACTGCAAAGTTAAGGAAGAAACCATTCTACACTGGCTTTTTCCAGGCAAAGATCTAGATTCAGGTCTACATGTGTTGTTGGATGACAAGGTTTGTCAATATATGTCAGACTGTATTGTTGAAGTTGGTGTGGCTGAGATTTATGCAGAAGAGCCAATTGTGATTGATATCTCAGAGGAAGAGATGCTGGCAGTGATTATGAACTTGAGATGGCAGAAGAAGGTGGTGATGAAGACTTTGAAGAAGTAGAGGCAGTGAATGTGAATTCAGAAGCTGATGCAATGAATGGGAATGAAGAAGATGTCCAAACTAATGAGAGGTTGCTTCCAGTTCAGATACCTAATCCAGCAATGGTGGTTTACAAAGCAAAAGAATCACCACATGGCTGTGATGATGAATCACCAGCTAGCAATGAGGAAGATTCATAAGGTGATAGTGATTATCTGCCTGGTGATGATTGCTCTTTAGATGATGATGATGAGGAAGGTGCAGCTATAGAAAGACATTACAAAGATCTCAAGAAGAAGCTGAGGACAAGCAAAGTGGCTAGCTTGGATGATGTGACTTTTGGGGGGCACAAGACAAATGCAAATATGGCTACTGGTACTAATGAAGGAGATGGCAATGACACTGAGTATATTGACAGTGATGATGAAGAGTCAGTGGAAGAGGGTTCTGATGGGGAGTTAAGAGTGAGAGGAAGTAATAATGCAAGGTTCAAGAAGAAGCCTGGATATCCAACATTTGAGTTGGGAATGAAATTTAGTTGCAAGAGTCAGTTTAAGAAAGCAATTACAGCATATGCTTTGGCTGAGAGAAAGGTGATAAACTTTGTGAAGGATGATCCTAAGAGGGTGAGGGCAAAATGTGACTGGCATAGCTGTCCTTGGGTATGTCTGTTGTCCAATAACAGTAGAAGTGATGGTTGGCAGATTGTCACCTTTGAGAATTTCCATGCATGCCCTCCTAGAAGAGATAACAAGTTGGTGACTGCCACTAGGATTGCTGACAAGTATGGCAAATTTATAATTGCAAACCCCTCATGGCCATTAGCTCACATGAAGGCTACAATACAGGAAGAGATGTTTGCTAATGTTTCTGTAAGCAAGTTGAAGAGAGCCAAGTCAATTGTGATGAAGAAAGCTATGGATGCAACTAAGGGACAGTACCAGAAGTTGTACAACTATCAGAAGGAGTTGCTGAGGTCAAATCCTGGAAGCACAGTGGTAGTTAACAGAGAGGTTGATATGGATCCACCAGTGTTCAAAAGGATCTACATCTGCCTAGATGCATGTAAGAGAGGATTCATATCTGGTTGCAGGAAAGTGATAGGACTGGATGGTTGCTTCTTCAAGGGAGCAACAAATGGAAAGCTCCTTTGTGCAATTGGAAGGGATGCTAATAATCAAATGTATCTAGTGGCATGGGCAGTGATTCACAAGGAGAACAATGAAGAGTGGGATTGGTTTCTAGACTTGCTGTGTGGTGACTTGAAAGTGGGTGATGGCAGTGGCTGGGTTTTCATATCAGACCAACAAAAGGTATTCCCAAGAAGCATTTTTTCAATCTTGTAGGACTGAAAGTGCATGATTTGCAATAGGGCTAATGTTCTCACTGTTTTCTTATAGGGTATTATTAATGCAGTTGAGAAATGGGCTCCAGAAGCTGAACATAGGAATTGTGCAAGGCACATCTATGCTGATTGGAAAAGGCATTTCAATGAGAAGATATTGCAGAAGAAATTCTGGAGATGTGCCAAGGCTCCATGCATCTTGCTGTTCAACCTGGCAAGGGCAAAGCTAGCACAACTGACACCACCTGGAGCTCAAGCAATCATGAACACTCACCCCCAGCACTGGAGCAGGGCATGGTTCAGGTTAGGCTCCAATTGTGACTCCGTAGACAATAACTTGTGTGAGTCATTCAACAAGTGGATCTTGGAAGCTAGGTTTTTTCCTATCATTACTATGCTTGAAACAATTAGAAGGAAAGTTATGGTTAGGATCCATGATCAGATTACTACCTCAGCTAGATGGAACACTGCTATCTGCCCTGGTATTCTTAAAAAATTGAATGCATATATCACTAAGTCAGCCTTTTCCCATGCCATATGCAATGGTGCATCTAGCTATGAAGTTAAGCACCATGATAATAGGTTCACAGTGCAACTAGACAAAATGGCATGTTCCTATAGATATTGGCAGTTGTCAGGACTCCCATGCCCTCATGCAATCTCATGTATCTTCTTCAAGACAAACTCACTAGATGGATACATTAGTGACTGCTACTCAGTGACTGAATTCAAGAAAACTTATAGCCATTGCCTGGAACCATTTGAGGGCATGAACAACTGGCCATATGATGACAGACAACCTCTCAATGCACCTGGATATATCAAAATGCCAGGCAGGCCAAGGACTGAGAGGAGAAGGGAACCCACTGAAGCTCCAAAGGCAACCAGAATGTCAAAGATGGGCACAAAAATCAGATGTAGGCAATGCAAATAGTTTGGCCATAACAAGTCTACTTGTTACAAACATAGTTCAGGGGGCCCTAGCACAGCTGCTTCTCACCCTACAGGCAGCCCAGCAGGGACCAATGCAGTCAGCCCAGCAGGGGGTTTAGTACTGTCAAACTATACACAGGGTAGGAAAAGAAAGTCAATCTCGAGTACCAGCACTAGTTCTGCAATACACTCAGTGAGACCAGCTCCTTCTAAGAGAAAGGTATGCACATATTTCATAATCCATTCATTGCTGCTCCAATTAATAGAAACAAACTTGGTGCTAACTCTTTCTTGTACATGCAGGCACAAATGCAGGAGGCACAACAGATGGTGAAAGTGACAGCCACAGCATAAGTTCCCACAAATGAAGGTGGTACAACAACTGTAGACCTGCATGCAATTGTACCATACTCATAGGCTTCATCCAGTGCTTCAGTGAGGTTGAATAGTGGCAAAGCAGTTGTCAACGTTTCAGCTCAAGAACCAGTCAAGATGAAGCCAAAGAAAGCCACACCTGGGCCACTACTCCTTCTTCCACCATGGGAGTCTGCAAAGCTTTGAAGTTCTGCCATCTCCATTTAACTAATATTAGAACTATGTTAATGTGTTGTAATGACTCCTGTGTCTGAGAGCTATGATGTTTGATGTTTTTGTAATGGACCAATTCCTGGCCATTTGCTGCCATCTGTGAACCATTTCAAATGTGTGTGATGTCTGATATGGACCATTTGTTGTGTGTAGGCCTATATTGCCACACACTAATGCAGTCTGAACTTATGTCACAAATTGAGCTATCTGAATGCAATATCATGTGAACTATCTTCATTTGTGCTGGTCATATGTGTTGTGTGTGCTGTTACAAATAATGTGTTATAAATTGAGTGCTCAAATGACCCAATTATATTTCATGGGTTCTATCTTGTCTGCTCAAATTACACAATTCTAATTCATTTAATTTCAGATGTATCAAGCACAACCATACAAACATTTTAACAGGAATTTTTCCTTCATTAACACAGAGTGCATTACAACACACCACAACTTGCAGATATTTCTTTCAACCTGACAAAGTTCATTACAAAACACCACAACACCCATCTTGCTGCAAATACTTCACCCTACATTTCTCCTTACCAACACCAGTGCAAACATGACAAATACACAACCCATAACAACAACTAACAGATAACATCTCTCCTTCTCTAGCCTACTATTTCTATCCTTCAGCACAGCAATTCTTTCAGCATAGTCACATGACAGCTTTCTTGCTGCCTCCAACTCTCTTTGAGCAGCATCAACCTCTATTATCTTCTCCTCAACCTTCATCCTCTCTTCTTGGATAGCCAAACAAGTCTTTCCTTCTCCCTCCTCGCTGACCAAACTGCATCTCGCAAATCATTCAACACTTCTCTAATAAAGGTGGTCGTCGGCCCATCATACCAAGCATAAAAACCACATCCACCTTCCTGCAATCCCTAGCAATAAATTTCAATCCCCAATAAAAAATCCACCGTCCAACCAAAGAACAAAACATACCTGGGCATTGCGACATTTGAAGTACCGGCGGCTGGGGTTGTCCGGACTCCACGAGATCCACCATGCAGCCTTCACGCGACAGTCGCACATCACGGCCGACTGGTAATCAAAAGGACCAACCCTATATGGGATGGGACTCCTCGATGAATGCTGAGAATAGGACGATGACCCGTCGCTCTGGGAACTAGCCATCACCGCACCACCTCTATTCGCGAATCCACTCCTACCTTCACCGTCTCGGCGGATTGCGCCCTTGCCGTCGCCACGGATTGTGCCCTAGTCGTCTCCGCCCTCGCTATCGCCAGCCGCGCTCCGCACCAGCCGTCGCTGTGCTCCGCCGCGCTCCACACCAGCCGCTGCCGCCGCCGCCGCACCTCACGTCGCCTTGGCCATCGCCTGTCGGTCAAGGGTTTTGGTCAAAGGGGGGAAATGGGGATAGAGAGAGAGATGCGAGCCGCACGCCAATAATTTTACCTTCCAGGCTGACTCAGCTCGGCCTAGTCCGTACATACAACACACTGACATGTGGGTCCCACATGCTGAGTCAGCTCGTCAACCGGGTCAATGACGCCACGTCGGACGAAACCGCCTGCCAAACCGCTCAAGGAGGTCATTTGCTCTGGTTTTAAGAGATGAAGGAGGCGTTATACCCGGTTTTACGGTTGGGGGATGTTATTCACACAAGGGCAAGAGATGAGGGAGGCAAAATGGACTTATTCCGCCTCCAAAACCCTAGCCCGTTCCCACGGCCCTTAAACCCTTCTCCCATCTTCTCCACCTCTCTTGCTCTCTCGCCCTCTTCACCAAGAAAGAAAACAGGCGCACGCCTCGCCTCGCCTCGCCGCCGGCGGCCACCGTCTCCGCCGCCTCCTGCCCCCAACCCAGGAACCCCCGGCGAGAGAGCTCGATGGACCAGGCGGGGTCGATGGAGGAGCGGGTCATCACCGAGCGGATCCGGCGGAAGCTGGAGGAGGTGAACGCCGCCGCGCAGAAGCACCTCGCCGGCGTCCAGGACCACGTCAACTTCACCATGCAGGTCAGGGCTCCTCTGAATCTCTCTAGTGTTAGTACATTTTTTTTTCGCCTCGCGGTAGTATATTTATTGTGTTTTGGGGATACACGGGACCGGAAATCCGGAAATTTGGTGGTATTGATTGGTTGCAAATCTTGACTGACTTGGTGCGGCGTTTCTTGGATTAGTCTCGTGGGAGCTGGGAAGTAAGGGCTTGGATGTTCTTGTTCCGATGTTTGATTTGGCGACGATGAAGCAAAGTGTTACGGTAGTGCGTGCTATTTATATGGGATTTGTAGATAGTTCAGGGATAGGGCAGTCTCTGCTATTTTGATACCAAATGTTTGTAGACTCTCAAGTTGATATAAGGATATCAGATTTGGTGAGCCTTGCATAAATAATTTGTTCCAATGTAGTTTCAGTGATTCGGTTGGGCATCAATCAATCAGGTGGATGCAACTTAGTATATTTTGGAAGTTTGGAAAGCCCAATATCGGAGAATGATTACCAACTACTGAAACCTGCTGGTTATATATTTTTGTGTGACTTTTGCCCGGATCTAGCTTCTGGAGTATCTTAAAAATTCTCCTGTCACTCCATTGTATGCTATCAGGTGTGGGTAGACAGTCTTGGAGTTTGTTTATGAAAGTTCTTGAATCTTCTGTTCTGTACTGTCATTTGCTTTTTGTATGTTATCAGGCATGAGTAGACAGTATTGGAGTTGTTTATGAAATTTCTTTAGTGTTCTGTTCTGGAGTCTGTAAATGTAAGGATATGCTGTACGCTTGTTCAATTTGTTTCACTGCCTCTCATTGTGGAAGACCAAGAATAAAGTATGTCATTATGAGAGAAGAATTTATCTAAATTGAGAGCCCTGTGCTAATTATTTATTTTATATCTGGTTTTCTTATTGATCTTCAGATAAAGAATAAATGCTGTAATAAAATATGCTACATATCTTTGTAAGAGGAGAATTTATCTCCATAAAAATGAGAGGGGTAATCTGCACAGAGAGCCAATGTTAATTTTTTTTTTTGGTTTCTGGTTTTCTTATTGATCATCAGCAAGCGTACTTCAAGTGTGCGTATGAATGCTTTGATCGCCGAAGAAGTCAAGAAGGGATCAACAATTGTGTTGAGAACTGCAGCGTGCCTGTCCTTACTGCCAACAATGTTGTTGAGACTGAGATGGCTAAATTCCAGGTACTTCCAGTTTCATTCACCTATTGCTTTTCATTTTTCTTATGATTATTGCCTTCCATTACTTGCCATCATAGAGCAACATAGAACCCAACTTTGTGTCTGTTCATTTATGTAGAGTTTCAATATATTTTTTGCTGTACAGTCTATATCACTCTACATGTGAAAGAAGCTATGGTTCACTTGCTGCAAGTTTTACCTAGAAATATGCGTGGACAAAATTTTTTTCCTCTTTGGTTTCTTTGTGAACTTAGACTGATCATTGATGCTGAACTATGCCTACCACATGTGTGTTTGTTATTGATGATATCATACTGAGCAACTTGTACATAATGGTACCACTGTACAAAGCGCACCGTGTTACAGTAGATTATCAAAATTTTGTTGTCCAGTACAAACAAGCATTTGTGCATATCTATTTGCATATGATGTATGTTCCTGATTTATCTTCTGATTATGTATTTTGTTCAGCAAGCAACTAGCGTGGCTGTGTGCTGATCTTAGGGAAAATGATAGAAGGAATGACTTAACAAGTAGTGACATATCATCTAACCAAAAAATGGGAATATCTCTCCCACGCGATAGGTATAGGCATCAGTTGCTATGGACATTTGTTATAAGGTAGCCAAGGTGTCACTTATGGAAACATATTTTTCCCTCCATCTGGCAGTGTAAGTGTGTAACATTGATAAAACTAAATAATGCTTAAATGGTAAAATTTTGCAGGACTCTGATCTTGGTGTGTAACTGTTTAAGGATATGCATATCTAACTGCTTGAGCTATTTTATCGGAATACATATGCGAAAAATATTATGTTAGAACAGAAGGAAAAGTCAATGGCATTTCGAATAAAAACATCTGTTTGTACAAATAGTGATCAGTATTCAGTATTCACCTTTAGCTGTATGTTTTATCATGCAAAAGCATGTCTAACCCCTATTACCTTTATCTGTATGTGATCTAAGTTGTGATCTTTTCCCCTGTCCTCAGGAGCGGCTGAATCGATCTTTGATGGTGTGCCAAGATAAATTTGAAGCAGCAAAGCTCCAGAAGATGAAAACACATGCGACTGAGGAGCTAGAAGCATGCGTAAACAGATCTATTGATGACAGTATCAGGGTCCTGCCCCATCTGGTTGATCAGATCAAGTCCACCCTCTCCATGAATTAGAGAGATCAGAAGAAGTTCAGAACTAAACAGTAGAATCTTCCTCGTAAACTATTTCAGCTTTTACAAAAAGCATTTTCACTAATTTTGGCACCAAGATCGTTGGCCAAATTACTGCCCTTTGTTAACATGAGTATGACATATGAGCGGCATATCGTATTTTGTGTGCCTTGAGCATTTTGTTCGGAACCACACTTTGTTGCAGAGCTGATTTATCGAAAGATGGTGCAATAATAGAAGATGATATCCTCATGTTGCTCATCCTTATTCATTTGCATCTTGCAGTTTGTTTCAGTTCATGTTACCAGCATTTGATCTTCATTCATGAACCCTATGATGATGGCAGAAGATGATATTCCCATGAAATTACTGGCGTTTCCACTTGTTCTCCCTCCCTTGTCAAGTATATACCACATTTTTTATTGCTTGTTCTCAAGAATATACAATTAGGCCTACTTTCGAATGGAGGAATCAATTTGTTCTCTATATTATCAGGCCTCTTTTGGAACGGTGGAATTTTAAAGGATTTTTCGAGGAACTGAACTAGAATCCTGTAAAATTTATACATTTCAAAGAGCCAGTCTCTCTCTCAAAAAAAAAAAAAGACAAATGTAATGTGCTATGTGCTTGATTTGGTGAAAGGAAATCCCGAAAACCGGGGGATGAATTTAAAAAAAAGGGTGAATAGCTAATTTAGTCCCTCAAGTTTCACCGAAGGCTCACTTTGGTTCTTCAGGTTTCATTTTGTTAACATAAAAATCCTCTAAGACCCTGTTTATATGGGACTAAAACTTTTAAGTCCCTATCACATTGGATGTTTGGGTACTAATTATAAATATTAAACGTAGACTATTAATAAAACCAATCCATAATCTTGGACTAATTTGCGAGACGAATATATTGAACCTAATTAATCATGATTAGCCTATGTGATGCTACAGTAAACATTCTCTAATTATGGATTAATTAGGCTTTAAAAATTTGTCTCGTATATTAGCTTTCATTTATATAATTAGTTTTGTAAGTAGTCTATATCTAATATTCTAAATTAGTGTCTAAATACATAGACTAAAGTTAAGTCCTTAGATCCAAACACCAACTAAGTATTTGTTTTGGCCTAAAATTATCATTGGGCCCACTTAATATGCCATATGGCTATTTTTAGTCATCAATTCTATTAGAAAATGTCCCTTTTGCCCTTAACTTGTATACAACTATACACTAGAAAAAAGAAACCAAAATAAATAAACAACATTGTATATTTACTTCCCATTATTTCAACATGTGCACATGAAAATTGAGCCTAATGGCTATCGTATACACTTGTAAGCACATAATTTTTTTTTGTTTTATCTATAAAAAGAATTCATTACATGCATTTTTTCTCTATATATGTGAATGAGGGGGCATAAGTGTCATTTATCAAAAGAGTTGTTAGTTATGTGGGTTAAAGGATAAGTTTGAATTAAAATGGTGAATAGCTAATATGACCTGAAGTTTCGCTTCGGGCTCAATTTAGTCCTTAAGGTTTCAAATCGTCCATACAAGTCCTCTAAATTAATTATTTGGGTTAATGTAGTCCTTAGACCCACACAAAGTACCATGTGAGCATGCCAAGTCATCCTCGCATGCAGCGGTATGAATGAAATGACCATTGTACCCTTATATACCATATAGAAAAGAAAGAAAAAAAAGAAGATTAATGTTTCACACGTGCATGATCATTTTAGAATTGTCAGTTACGATTGCTGCAATAAGCAAAAAAAGATTACTAGGAGGACGTGCTGCACACTTAAAATTCAAAATATTTTCCTTGCACAAGAAAAATCTTACTCATCTAAAAGTTTTGATGAAGTTGCTGTTTCAAAACATAAAAGACCCCTCAAATTCGTACCATCACAAATCCCGCAGAACTGACGAGCGCTAATGGCCCCTCCTCCCCTGGCGGCAGCGCCACCGCCACCGCCCGCCGCCGCCCTCGTCCACCACTACACCCGCCTCCTCTTCGCCGCCGCCTCCGCCTCCGCCGCCGCCTCCCTCCGCGCCCTCCTCCCCATCCACGCCCGCGCCGTCGTGCTCGGCATCTCCGCCAACCCGGCCTTCGCCACCAGCCTCATCACCGCCGTGGCCCCCGCCTGCCTCGCCTACGCACGCAGGGTGTTCGACGCCGCGCCCAGCCGGGATGCCTACATGTGGAACACCCTCCTCCGCGCCCATGCCCACTCCCGCGCCCACGCCAGGGACGCCCTCGCGCTCTACGCGCGGATGCGCGCCGCGGGCGTGGCGCCCGACCACTACACGTACCCAATCGTGCTCCCGGCGTGCGCGGCGGCGCGGGCGCCGCGGCTCGGGCGGGCGGCGCACGGGGACGCCGTGCGGTTCGCGCTGGCGCGGGATGGGTTCGTGAGCAGCGCCCTGATCTCGATGTACTCCCAGGAGGGGGAGGTGCGCGACGCGGAGCGCGTGTTCGCGGAGAGGGATGATGCCCGGACGGTCGTCTCGTGGACGGCCATGGTTGCTGGGTACGCGCAGAACTGCTTCTTCGGCGAGGCAGTCACGTTGTTCAGTGACATGGTTGCTGCGGGCGTGCTTCCAAATGAGATCACCCTGATCAGTTTCCTGCCCTGCTTACGGGGGCAAGAATGGCTGCCTGTTGGGGAGATGGTTCATGGATTCGTCGTCAAACTGGGATTCGATGCAAACGTTCCCATGGTGAATGCGCTAATTACGATGTATGGAAGGTGCGGAAGTGCTCCCGTGGCAAGAGTTCTGTTCAATGGGATGAGTAGCCGCACTCTGGTTTCTTGGAATACTATGGTTGCGATGTATGAGCAACACGGTGATGGGGTTCAGGCAATCAAGTTTTTCCGCAGGATGCTTACCGAGAAGGTGGGGTTTGACTGTGTGACTTTGGTGAGCGTGTTGTCTGCTTGTGCGCGCTCGGGAGCCCTTGGTACCGGGAAGTGGGTGCATGAGCTAGCCAGGAGTCATGGGCTTGACACTGATGCAAGGATTGGCAATGTTCTTGTAGACATGTATGCAAAGTGTGGTGAGATTGCTTATGCAAAGGAGGTTTTTCATTCACATGGTTTGCGTGGTCACAGTGTTGTGTCCTGGAGTGCCATGATCAATGCATATGCCAACCATGGGGAGGCAGAAGAGGCTCTCAAGCTCTTCTCCCTGATGAGGAATGAAGGGGTGAGGCCTAATTCATTCACATTTACAGCGGTTTTAATGGCGTGTTGCCACTCAGGCCTTGTCGATGAAGGACTGAAGCATTTCAACAGCATAGCCACAGACTACCAAATGTCACCAACACTTGAGCACTATGCTTGCATGGTTGACATGCTAGGACGTGCTGGTAGACTTGTTGAAGCATATGGAATCATTAGGGGAATGCCGATTCGGCCTGACAAGTGTGTGTGGGGTGCCTTCCTTGGTGGTTGTAGGCTTCATGGAATGGTGGAGCTAGCTGAATATGTTGCAAAGGAGCTTTTCGACTCAGGATCTAATGATGTAACATTTTATGTTCTGATGGCAAACATGTACTTTGAAGCTGGAATGCTGGAAGATGCTGAGAGGATAAGAGGAGTCATGAAAGAGATGGAGCTAAAGAAGACAGCTGGGCATAGCTTAGTTTGTACTGATAGAGAAAGAATAGCTGTCGTAAGGTAGCAGACTAGTAAAATTGTACTACTGATGCTAATTAGCTTATCTGTTGCTAGCTTCGTATGTAGATTAATTCTTTGATAGTTGAGATATTCAAGAGTACCAGCACTTTCTTTTGGTGAGTGGCTTGTACTACGGTCTTTATTGTGAAGGCAACATAACTTCTACTGTCTTCAGACCAATAGCAACTTTTCATGGCAATGTTGTCCAATCCTGGGTGTCTATTTGGTGCAATATCCATGATTTGTTTTGGTGCCTCAGCTTGAAGGTACCACACCAAATGCCTAGATTTATTAAAGGCACGTATTTCCCTAATATCAAGGAATGGAACCTCTTTTTGCACAATTATTTTGACCACAAGCTTCATACTCTATTTTGCAGGTATGTTCTCTTCTGTAAGCACACTAATTGAGGACAATGTTCAACCCAAAGTGCCTACCAAGTCATTCATCAAGAAACAACTGACCAAATAGTAAGCCTTTATTTTCTCAATGATATTCATGAGAACACTATCAACCCAGGAAGGAAAACTAAGAACATTATCTCCAGAATTCATTTCTTGTGGAGAACTAGGTTCAAATGAACTCATATTCTTTACTTGTGCCTACTCTAGTTCTAAAAAGGGAGCTATTTTCCGAGACTAGTCTTGTGCTGAAATCCCACGCTTAACTATTTCCAAGATGGGAGGTCTATAGCTCATTCATTTTGCTCTTCTGTTTGCAACCACTAAGAAAGGTACTCTTATTTCCCGTGAATGATGAATATTATTTGATAATACATGCTCTGATAGCCTACATGTATATGCTCATAATCCTACAATATTGTTTTAAAAATATAAACTGGGAAATAAAAATGAAGGAAATTCGTTTCAGTTGGATAGCATTTAGAATGGGAGCCTTATCATTGTAGGTAACAACTAATGAGGTAGAGTCACCTGGGGTTTTGTAAGCCAAGCGTGGAAGTGAAGCTGCGATGTGGGCTGCAAGAGAGCTCAGCCATTCACTGGATGGAGACAAGAGCGTGGCATGATGGCAGGTCTATCCGCTCAGCATGTCAATGATAACTTGAACTGAATATGAATATGTTTGGTGAGATAGCAGTTTGCTTATGCAGTTGATACATCAGAAAAACCAGAATACTAAACTTCCTTTTGTATTTTTGTTATATGCAATTAGCAATTCAATTTAGTGTACTCTGAGCGGCAAATTATCCTGAACAGAAATAGCACTGCATGTCATAATCAATAGTTTTATTGGTCTACCTTGTTTCGTTTGCCAAATGGTATGTTCAAAATATCATGAATTTCTATTCCTCTAAGATTACAATTTTGTTATCTATTATCTATTGAATTTGTTTATCTTGCTTCAGTATCATTTGTCATTTTCTTCTTTTGGATGTTCACAAACTGATGATCTGTGAAAAGAGTGGAAAACGAGAACTTTGTGTTAGATACAATTGTTGAATGGCTGGTCAAGACAAATTATGAGTGCCCTCTATTTGGCCCCTTGAAGACATTGATATGATGAGACTGAAGATATGTGTTGGACTATTTGTTGCTCGATGAGCAGGACACAGTTCCATTGGAAATTAGGATGTGTTCTCCCAGAAACCTCTACCAGAAAGGCATGCACTATTCTGTTTCATGTGCTTGTTGTTCATCTTGTGTGCCTTACCTTACCATGGTTAACAATTTGTTATCCATCAAGTGTAGTTCTGGAATAATAAAGAAACTTCAATTTGCCATGAAAATCTTGGCCTGATTTATTGTTCGACAATATTAGTGGAGGCTGGGACAAGCAAATCAGCTGTGTGTATTATTACTGAGACTACGAGTTCTGCATGCTGGTATATTCACTTCCATATCCATTTCTTGTTTTCTTTGGCTGGTTGCAGCAAAATTGGTTGATAGTTAAGGTCTTATGGATATCATAAGAGAACAAACTTTGATGCCTATGTTTGAATGTTGTATAGATATTGGCTAGTGGGTAATTATTTGCCAGATTCACCCTTCATTCGTTGTCAGTAACAGTGCCTGGACCTTGATTGTCCATAGTTGACAATTTGTTCCAGCATAGTTGACAATTTGTGCCTGGACCTTCATTCGGGATGTACGGGCCTGTTTATTCAGCTATCATAGTGTTGACAAGCTTTGCTGCTCTACTGCCCCTACCTATTCGCAGGGTTCAATCTTTCGTTTGTGTTAGATATGGCAATATTTCTGAAATTTTGAACAAAATTTAGTCAAATTTGAAAAAATATTGCCGAATTTCATGAAAGTTTTTAAAAAATTCGGCCAAAATAATATCGTATAAGGGGCGGGGGTTCCATAGGATTGAAATTCCGAAATTTTGAACCCTACCTAATCTTAGTGTTATATTATATTCCTCATGGTTTGTTGGCTTATAAGCCAGACCCAAAATTTTAATTTTCAGGCTTAATTTTAGATTATTTTAGACTTATTTATTTATTTTTTTACCTTAACTTTTAAACTGCTAAAGGGAAAGATACACGAGGCCAAGCCGGCTATCAACATCCTTAGGTCATATCCGGTTTCACCTAAACTGGAACCTATTAAGCTTTCAAAAGTATAGTTTCTTTAAAACATTTTTTTATCATCCTTACGACTTAGTATTTATTTGTCCTCGTTTCATTCAGTTATGTCTATTTCATCAAATCAAACATACCAAAATCGAAAATGGCCAACAACTGCATGCGGGACGACCGAACGTTTCCCTTTTTTAATATCTAAGATTGGCTCATTCAAATATTCAGAGTTTATAGGATCCTGATATAGCCAGGAATACAATGAAATAACTAAAGAAACAAGTAGATCAAAGCAAGAAATGGCAGCATGGCACGCGGCATTCAACGCACCAGCCAACCGGAAACAACCGTTACAGTGACCGGCATCCCAAACCCCAAATGTATGAACTAATTACGTAATCAACCGGCCTAATTAAGCAGGCAACCGGCGCACCGGCAACGCATAAGCACGCAAATCAGGCTGAGGAGCAGAGAACAGTAAACGAAGACGTGTAAAACAGTCAGATAGCCAAAAAAAAATCCAAAATCATGAGAAAAACGCGAGGTTAGAGGAGTTATTGATTGATGATATCGATAAACAACGAGCTCACTCGATCTAGTCAATGTACTTTCCATGTTTAACCATTTATCTCATTTAAATATTATGTGTAAATGCATAAAATATAAATCATGCTTAAAGATATTTTTAGTTATAAAAATAACATAAATTTTTTAATAAAGAAATGGTTAAACGTGTATTAAAAAACAACAGCGCTATTGTCGGTGATATGGGACCGGGAGTATCGTGACCAGAGGCTTGAGGCAGACACAATCGCCCACGTGGCCTGGCACCTTCGGGGACGTCGGGCCCGAGGGTGAGGTGTCCGCCCTCCTCCTGATTTCCCCGAGGGGGGGTCGGGTGACTCCTGCCCCGGCCCCGAGGGCCGAGGCGCCCCGACCCCTTGTGGAGTTAGCGCCACATGAATGGGTTGGGTGAACACGGTGAGCCTCACCTAACCGCATTTATTGCGGTCTGGTCGAACGTGTCACGCTGCATGAAGCACAGTGCAGCGCGTTCCTTTATCCGGTCTGTGACCGGTCACAGACCGGTCAGATCACGGGTTAGGTGGCGACTGGTGGTCTGACGCACGCCTTGCCCCATCCCGTCAAGACGAAAGCCTCTAGGCACTCGTCTCAAGCCGGAGCTAGCGTGTAATCTCTTAGAGATGGCACGTTAGCCCTGGTTAGATTTATACCAGGCTTCATCTCAACCATTACAGCCTATATGTTGTATGAAGAAGGGTGAACATGCAGATTGTTGAACTGACGCGTGGAGGACAAGAATGACCAGTCTGACACTGGTCATGTCGTCGGCAGACAGCCACGTTCCCACGACGCGCCTGTCTTCGGCAGAAGTGGAGGTAGGTGTGTGCCGTCCCGTCAGAAGGATGTTCGGAGGACAACCGTGCAAATCTCCGTCCATTTATGAAGAGAAGAAAAGTCCAGTTTGGAAAGAGAGGGGTGCATGTGGTATCCCCTTGAAGTATAAAAGGAGGACCTTGCCCATAGGGAAAGGGGGATGATCTTTTCCAGATTCGGAACTTAGAACAAGTAAGAGGTTGGCTCACACTTTGTAGCTCCCTCATACACAGATCCACCAAAACACAGGAGTAGGGTATTACGCTTCTTAGCGGCCCGAACCTGTATACATCGCCCGTGTCTCGCGTTTCTTCCTAGCTGGCGATCTTTTCACATACCGAGAGAGCTTGAGACTTCACCCTAAGCCCCCGGCCGAACCGGCAAAGGGGGGCCTACGCGGTCTCCCGGTGAGGAGCCACGAGCTCCGTCATCTGGCGCGCCAGGTAGGGGGCTCAGCGTGTGTTTTCTGAGCTCTCGTACTCCTCCGTGTGCGCCAAGTTTTTCTTGTTCAGCCTAATGGCCGAGCAAGCAAAGGTGCACGACCTCTCTCCGAGTGTGAGCGGCGACGACGGGGAGCCAAACCCACGTCGTCGAGCTCGTACTCCCCCACCTCCTCCACACCAAAATCCTAAGCAGGGGGAGGCGCTCGAGAGGGTCGAAAAATCCGCAGCATCGCCAGTCGCGGGTGATGCAGGAGAACGGCGAGATGGGGAGCGTCGCCTCCTCGTCTACGGCGACGGCAGCACGCCTCAGGGCGCGCTTCAGGCTGTTGGCGCGCTCCTACGTCACCCGCCCGTCGTCCCTGACCCGGAGTCTCCAGCCCAGCGATGGCTGGACGACGTGGCCAACTTGGTCATGACGGCACAGCAGCGCCTGGGTGCTGGTGGACGGTCCGCCACCACCAAGACCTCCGGCGCCGCCACTACCGGCTCCGTGTCATCAAGGCGGAGGGCGCGGCGAGCGGCGGCTGTTGCACGCCATTCGGCTGCCACTCCCTCGTCGGCACCTCCGACTCGGGAGGATCAGCATGGAGAGCCGGATGCCCGCCTCGACATCGAGCGCCGGCGTAATAGCCGGCGTACTCCCCGCGCAACGGAGGGCGCCTCTTCGTCCAGAGTGTCACCTCGACATGGACGTAAGGACCAGCCCTCCGTGCCCCCGGCTGGTGGTGTCGGCTGTAGAGCCTTTGTGGCGAGTCTTCGGAATGTCCGTTGGCCCCCAAGGTTCCGGCCCACCATCACCGAGAAGTATGATGGGAGTGTCAACCCCACCGAGTTTCTCCAGGTCTATACGACCGGGATTGAGGCCGCTGGGGGTGACGACAGGGTCATGGCGAATTTCTTTCCCATGGCCCTGAAAGGACAGGCGCGGGGTTGGCTAATGAACCTGCCACCTGCGTCGGTCCACTCTTGGGAGGATTTATGCCAACAGTTCACTATGAACTTTCAAGGCACTTATCCGCGCCCAGGCGAAGAAGCGGACTTGCACGCGGTACAGCGAGGGGATGATGAGTCACTTCGCTCGTACATTCAGCGGTTTTGCCAAGTCCGCAATACCATACCATGCATCCCTGCACACGCGGTGATCTACGCGTTCAGGGGGGGTGTGCGGCACAACCGCATGCTCGAAAAGATCGCTTCCAAAGAGCCCCAGACTACCGCGGAGCTTTTTCAGCTCGCAGACCGAGTGGCTCGTAAGGAGGAAGCATGGACCTGGAACCCCTCCGGTTCCGGAGTGGCAGCTTCGGCCGCCCCCGGATCCGCCGCTCAGACAGGGCGGCGTGACAGGAGGAGGAAGAAGAGGTCGGTCCATTCCGGCGACGAGGGTCATGTCCTCGCCGTCGAGGGCGCTCCGCGGGCCACCCGAAAGGGGAGGCCTGCGAGCGACAAAAAGAAAGAGGCTGGTACTCCCGCCAGGGAGCGCCCAGCTAGCAAGTGGTGCTCCGTCCACAACACCTCCCTCCACGATCTCGCGGACTGTCGCGCAGTCAAAAACTTGGCTGAGCGAACAAGGAAGTGGGAGGAGGACAGGAGGAAGGAACGCCGTGAGGGCAAGTCGCCGGCAACTCCCTCCGGTAAACGGCGAAGTGAGGCCAAACAGAAGGCCCCCGCTGTCGACATCGATGTCGGTGATGATGACCTAGGTTTCCAAGAACCTGGAGCCACCATTGCCACTGTCGATGGGGGAGCGTGTGCTCACGTCTCTCGCCGGAGCCTCAAGGCCATGAAGCGAGAGCTTCTGGCCGCGGCCCCTACTCATGAGGCGACGTGCCGGGCGCGGTGGTCGGAGGTTGCCCTCACTTTCGACCAGACCGACCACCCACCGTGCGTCGCCCGGGGAGGGCAGATTGCGATGGTGGTTTCCCCCACCATCTGCAACGTGAAGTTGGGGCGTGTCCTCATAGATGGGGGAGCGGCCCTCAACATCATTTCCCCCGCGGCTTTTGATGCCATCAAGGCCCCGGGGATGGTGCTCCAGCCGTCCCAACCGATTATCGGTGTGACGCCGGGGCACACATGGCCGTTGGGTCACATCGACCTACCGGTCACCTTTGGTGGATCAGCCAACTTCCGCACGGAGCGGGTGAACTTCGATGTGGCGGACCTCAGTCTGCCCTACAACGCGGTCCTGGGGAGGCCCGCGTTGGTGAAGTTCATGGCGGCGGTCCACTACGCCTACCTCCAGATGAAGATGCCGGGCCCCGGTGGCCCCATCTCTGTCCATGGCGACCTGAAAGTCGCGCTCGCTTGCATGGAGCAGCGCGCGGGCCACCTCGCTGCTGCGTCCAAGCCCGAGGGTGGTGACGAGAGGCTTGGCACCTCCGCCCCCACCGCCCCGAGGCAGCGGATGGTCACATGCGCCGAGGTCCCGGTCAAGGGGGTTGCCCTGGGCGACGGCCCATCCAAGACCACACGGATCGGTGGTCTTCTGGATGGCAAATAGGAAGACGCGCTCGTCTCCTTCCTGCGGGCAAACGCTGACGTCTTCGCATGGAGACCGGCGGATATGCCCGGGGTCCCCAGGGAGGTGATTGAGCACCGTCTCGCCGTGCGGCCGGGCGCAAGGCCGGTCCGGCAGAAAG